CAGTCTGAAGTGAGAAGGAAGAGGCGTCAGACACGCACCCTTCTAAATTAGACTTCGTCAACCTGCTGCCCTCCAGATGTTTCGGGTGGCAACACCTATCAGCCTCAGCCAGCATACCAGTGATGTGAGCTGCAGTCCCAAAACATCTGGAGGGCGGCAGGTTAGTGAAGGCTGCTCTAAATGGTATCCCTCACTAAACTCCAGGCTTGTGCATTTATGCATTAGTTCCGCGCACAATAATTCCTCAAGTAGCAATTAAACCTGGCTCCCTCCTGCTTCTTTCCTACAGCTCTGAACACTGGGAAACTAACCCATATCCCCTAAAAGGCAAAAGACAGTCCAGACAAAAGGAAGAGGGCATAAAGTATGCTTTGGCTTTGATATCTGAACTATCTGGTCCCTACGGCTGGAACATCTAATAATAATAATAATAATAAATTTTATTTATATCCCGCCCTCCCCAGCCAAAGCCAGGCTCAGGGCGGCTAACAACAAACAGTTGTTGGACATCTACACTGGTGTCCAAGCACAAAAGCACCCTGGGGAACACAAACTAGCTAGAACATCATGCTCTACTGTGGAATATTTTCAGCACTTATTTAGGACCAGACATGTAAAGTCTCTGAGACTAAAGGCATTTTGGGGGCTAAATACATCACTAAAAGCAGGTCAGAAGTGTGAGTCTGGAGTACTCTGATGAGTGCAAAGCATGTCCCCACCGCAGATTTTCATGCTTCCCTTCTACTTTAGGCTGTATTCATTGGTTCACATATCTAGAAATGCTTTCCTATTGCTTCCAGTGCCTCCAGAATAAGAAGTGCATCATGACCTGGCCCCTGGAGAATTCTGGGAGAAGAGATTCTGAGTAGATTTGGGCTCTCTTGAGAGCTGAAGTGAGGTCCAATTCAAACATGCAAAAATAGCACATGGAGGAAGACATCCCTCCAGAAAGGCACTGCTTTAGAATGCAAAGCGGATTGTGTGTTTTAATGTGTCGGTTATGTAAAACAAAAAACTCACTACATGTAGACAGGGGAAAACGCTAAACTTAAATTATTCTCTCTGCCATGTTAGCTTTCCACAAGCAGAGATGTTTGGTGTTGTTTTTTAACAGGGCTGGACCTTTAGAGGCCCTAAGCACTTGAAAGATTTGGGTGCCCCCATATATATATCTAATTCAAAATATAAACAATAATAAACTGTAAAATATAATTTTATTTTTCAAAAGGAAAGAAAATCTACAGTAAGATGAAAAATAATGTTTATTTTCGTATACTTCCACTTTATTTATACTTGAAAATAATTCCCCTACTTTTTGTAACTGCAAAGTCTTTGATCAGATCCTGAAAACTAACCTTACGTAACGTATCTGCTTCTATGCTTAGTAGAGATACGGCATCCAGCCTGCCTTGTTGCATAGTTGTTCTGTTGGGATTTTGAATATACTTCAGCTCAGAAAAGGAACGCTCAGCTAAGCAATTTGTGACCATGAATGTTAAGAATCTGGCAAGGGAGAATTTCAGTGGTGTCCCCCTTCCCTTGATGCCCTAAGCACATGCTTATTTTGCTTCATGGTTCAGCCAACCCTGGGTTTTTTTAACAAGGGGAAACCTGCAGCCTGTAGTGGTTCAATCATAGGGGGATACCATCAATATGCTTGTACTGCACATTTAAAATGGCCCAAAATCATCCACAGCTTCTTGACAGAAACTGTCAGCCAAGGCCTGTTTTACTAACAGAAAGCAAAGGAAGGTAGAATCTACTGTTCACTGGTCTGGACTAAAACTATTTTAAATTTATTGAAAGACAAAAAAATGCAAACTGTACTTCACATTGTATGTAGTCCCAAATGACAAAGAAGCACCATGTGTTCCCTAGCTCTAACCAGTCTGTTACAGAGTGAGAATTTTGATTTTGTATGTTTTGTCCACTTTTTGCTTTCAGTGGCAGGAATCTGTCATCGCAGGCATTTCTGCTTGGCCCCCAGAACAATCTCCCTTCTCCTCCCTTCTGTGCTGTTGTGGGGCTTCTCCTGAGACACACACCTGAGCCATTCTGATGACAGAGATGGGGGGAGCCTTGTTGTGCTAGCTGCTCTTCTTCCAGTGGGACCACTCAGTTGAATTTGGCCCTATAAGTTGTATCCTGAGCCTAACGCTGGTCACTAAAAAATGCATTGCAGCACTTCTCCTGTCATTTCTGAAACCTTGCAGCCCTTCCAGGATCCTCAGGAGTGCTCAAAACTGCAACTGCAGTTGTAAAAGTGCCCTCAGCTGCTTCTCCCTCACTGTAGCAGCTCTTGCTTTGCCCCTTGCCTAACCCTTCCTGATGAGGGGCAAGGGAAGCTGGTGCCATTGGCGCTCAACACCTCCAGGGTACCTGGAGCACCCTGAAGTATGAGAATATAGGTGGGTATATGTATGGGGTGCCGATCAGAAGGTCAGCGGTTCGAATCCCTGCGATGGAGTGAGCTCCCGTTGCTTGGTCCCTGCTCCTGCCAACCTAGCAGTTCGAAAGCACGTCAAAGTGCAAATAGATAAATAGGTACCGCTCCGACGGGAAGGTAAATGGTGTTTCCGTGTGCTGCTCTGGTTCGCCAGAAGCAGCTTAGTCATGCTGGCCACATGACCCGGAAGTTGTACGCCAGCTCCCTCAGCCAATAAAGCGAGATGAGCACCGCAACCCCAGAGTTGTCCGGGACTGGACCTAATGTTTGGGGTCCCCTTTATGTCTGAGAGAGGGGGTACATGTCTTCACCCCAAAGGAAAGCAATACCCAACCTGGTGATGACAGAATAAATGATGTAAGGAGGGAGCTGCAGCCCAATATAAGAAAGGAGGTGATAAGGGAACACCTAACTACTTTAAATGAATTCAGATCTCCAGGGCCTGATGAGGGGCACCCAAGGGTAAGAGTACCAAAGGAACTGGCAGATGTGATCTCAGAGCCTCTGTCTATAATCTCTGAGAATTCTTGGAGAACAAGTGAGGTCCCCACAGACTGCAGGTGAACAAATGTTGTCCCCATCTTCCAAAAGGAGGAAAAAGAAGAACCAGGTAACGACTGACCAATACCAGGAAAGGTCCTAGAACAGGTAATTCAATAGTGGTGAGTCTGTGAGCATTTAGAAAAGGACACTGTACTGCTGGATGACCTTGGGCCACTTGCCATCTCTCAGCCTAACCTACCTCACAAGGTTGTAGGGAGGTTAAAAGGGGGCGGGGAGTGTGTCTTGCCACCTGGAGCTCCTTGGAGAAAAGGTGGGGCAGCCTAAGTCCTGACAAATAAATAAAGATCCATATTTGCAGAATTGGTTCGCTACAAGGTTCTTAATAAATACATTGTGTACACCTCCTTCGTGAATGTCCCTGGATTTTCCCTTACCCTTCTTATTCTTCCACCACAGTTTGGCCTCCAGAAACCTTAACAAAGACACTTTGACGACACCACCCGATGCTTTGTACGGAAAGGCAGCGAGGTTTGTGGAAGAGGAGCTGAAAGGCGCGCGCCGGGGCTGGGAGGGGGGCGGTGTGTGCGCCGGAGCGGAGATGAGGGAAGGGTCCTCCATGGCTGTGCTGTGGAGTGTCACGTCTTCCTCCCAGGGGCTCCCCTCCACTTCAGGAGGTGAGAGTGGATTTTCTCAAGTGCATTTTGACAGCTGGGAGCAAGGGGATCGCAGCAGCAGCAGCAGCAACAGCTGGAGACATTCCTCGCCGCGCCCCTCCTCCGGCAAGCCGGCTGTCCCTGGCGAAGAGAGTCCAAAGGGCCCGCCCGCCTGCCTGCCCGCCCCCTCGGCTGCTGCTGCTGCCTGCATTACAGCAGCCAGACAGGACCCGGGCACTCCGCGCCGCTCTCCTCCACTGGAAGGCCGGAGGGGAGAAGTTGCAGGAGGTTGGCGGCGTCTGCCTGATGAAACCTCTGAAAGCGATTGCTGCAGCGGGGCGTGGGGGGGTGGGAAGGAGTAAGGAAGAGGAGCCACCCTGATCCCTGGCACACACACCCCATCGTCACCTGCTGAAGGCTTCCATCGCCTTCCTTAAGGAAAGCAGCTGCTGCCGGAAGGCTTTAGGTGGGAATCCCGAACGCGCCACCGGGGAGGGCGGGCTGCCTTGCCCCAGAATCCGCGCCTCTCAATGCGGATGGGAAGGAATGCGGGAGGATCGGGCTGTGGATGAGGGTTGAGGCACAGCAACCAGATGATGCAACGACTGCGGTGGGGTTACACAAGAAAAGGATCGCCGCTTCTCCCCCACCCCCAATAATATCCCCAAAAATCTGGGCGAAAGGGGAGGCGTGCGCTAAGGTTGAGGATGGAGACGGTTCCGTAGTTGGGGGAGGGGGGTTACAATAAAACCAAGCTTTCCATTTGAATCCCCCCCACCTCCACATTGCATTAGGGTCCAAATCTATGTATCAGGTGTTATTTTTTAATGGGGAGAGAGCAGTGCGGGTTCCCCACCCCAACATTATAAACTGCTCGCTCCGTGTGACATGTATGAAGAAAACGAGCCAAGATTAATAAAGTACTGCTCTAAAATGCAAATATTAACCGCAGCGTGAACGGGGGTTCTTCGATCCAAAAGGCGAAAATGTCCTTTTGTTCGGGTTCAGGTGCTACACCGGGGATCAGATAAGCTCCCTGCCGTGCCCGCCGCCGCCGCCCCCCACCCGCTTCCGAAGGAACACGTGTAGATTGGCGACGCCCTGGGCTCCCCTGGCTGCAAAAGCACATGGCTCCGTCTAGATCGCCTGCTCGAAATCCGATCTTCGCAGGCCACTCGCTGGCTTCGCTCGGTTGCCGCGTGTGCCATACATACCGTAGACGCGCTTGCACGGTGCCCGGCAGGCAGGCAGGCAGCGAGTCTTGCTGGTGCTTAGCAAAAGGTATCGCTAAATTCATCACGGAAACGACCTGGCCCGATTTCCAAACTACTCATACAACCCTCCCCCCGCCCCAGTTAGCAGCGCGACTCTTGCAAGCACCACCGTCCGCATCGCCTGCAAGACCTTCCCTTTTCCCGCCGCCGCTGCTGCTTGCAAGCGACCGCCCTTGCAGAGCCACGCTTTTGTTTCTTAGCGTCGCCTCCCCCCCCCTTTAATCGACTTCCTAACGACCGAGCAAATAAGCGCTCCGCATTGGGAATGTGAGGACGCTGCAAGGCGCAGGAAGGCGGGTGCGCGATCCACTCGCTGGACCACGCTCGCCGGTGCATGCTTTTGCAACCTGCTGCACTTTGCAGCGACTTTCCCGTCCCGAGCTCTCCGGAGTTGCTCGCTGGAGTGTGTAGTAGTTGAGCGCAGGCCACGCCCCCCGAGCGTGGTGTCAGAGTGAAAGAGAGGCTCCGGTTGGTCGGCTGGGCGGACAACATCTGCTCGACTCCTTCATTCAAGTGACACCGGAGCTTTGAGGGATATTTGAGGCACCATCCGTTCCCTTTCCTGGCCACTTCTCGCACTTGTACCAGCGCCGATCGCACGCTCCGAGCGAGGCTTGGGAAAGATCCGGGATCTCTCGTCTTGATCACCCCACGCTGCGCGCACACTTTTTTCCTTGCAAAGAAGTGTGTGTGAGAGAGAGGGCGAGCTCTCCTCCGGTCAGTGCTGTTGGCGTAGACGTCGGGGCCATGCATGCTGCAGAGTGGTTAGGGAAATTCGTGACCCTGGCTTTGGTCTTTGCAAGCTTGGATCCAGTGGTAGGCACGGAAGCCACCAACCCTCCGGATGGTGCCCAAGATAACAGAGCGCCTCAGCAAAAAGGGCGCCTGTCTTTGCAAAACACAGGTATGTTGGGCTTCCTTTCCAATATCATCAAACCGTATTGGCATGTGAGTCTAAACTCGGAAGGGGAGCAAACCGGCATTTTAAGTTCGGGGAACTGGCTCTCTGCGTTCCTGTGCAGCGTGGAAGGCTCAAAAGAGGCACGCATCGCAGGGAGGGAGCAGAAATCGATTTTTTTAGAAAATAAAAATGCTTCCTGTAGTTTGGAAGCGCACGTGCTTGTTCCCCTGTTGGAACTGCAGACCGCCGAGCTGTGCTGCTATCTAAGTAAGGCAAAAGGAGCTCATCGCAGACAGAAGACGGGGAGGACCAAAGTGAAAGTTAGACCAGGTAATAATTATAAGCCGAGGATAATACGTGCTTGCTCGCTCTCTCACTCTCGCTTGCTCACTCCTTTTTTTTCCTTTTGCTATAAAAAGATTTTAATGACTAGTCCTTTGCGTGTCTTTGCACGTTCCATACTGGTCAGCTCTCTCCCATCCTTTAATTTTCAGCAAGATTCCGGAGGCAAAAGTCTTAAAGGGGAGGCGGGTAGGAAAAACAGTAGGAAAAAACCGCCTTGCTGGTACAAAGGATGCTTCCTGAGCGCAGGTTTAGGAGCCGATTGAGAAAGAAAAAGAGCACTTGGAACGTGCAGACCTAAGTAGAACTGCTGAGTCTTTCTCTCTGTTTTTTTTCCCCTGCCGGGAGAGGCGTGCAGTGATGCAATTCACCACAGGGGGTTTCCTCTCCTTTTCCGTCTTCCCTCTTTTTTTGGGGGGGGGGGTTGCGCGTGATCTTTTTAATGCATACTGGTCGCATAAGTCACAATGCAGTGCAGTTTCCTTGGAGGAAACCTGCCAGGCCTGAATTGAAAGAAACAGAGGGAAGCAGCACACACACCCTCCAGTTCTCCCCAGGTTTAACTGTAGTGGAATTTGCTGCTGCAAAGCTTTGATTAAAACACACACATGCAGGAATGCCCAAGTGCCACATGTGAATCTTATAGTTCTGTGCAATTCTCAGCACACTGACTGAGGCCAGGTCGTGTGATTGGAACCGCATTTGCATCCTACCCAACACAAGCACTACAGCTGGCCTCCTGGAACACCTACACACAGAGAGAGACACACACACACCCAAGCTGCATACTTACACAATGTTGGACAAAGAGCCCCTTTTCCCCATCTGCTATGCACAGCTTCTCCTGTGTCTATAGAATTCAATACAGTGAGGCTTCCTTGAGAAGGAAATATAGGAGATGTAGCTGCAAAATCCTCCTCTGGGTCTTCTGGCCCTTTGTCCAATCAGTGTTTTAAAAACGGAGGAATTCCTACCTGCTTGTTATTTATTTTGCTTAACTAGGATCCCTCTCTCTTAGCTTGGCTTCTGTGTGCCCTTTTAAGGAACGCCCATTTTCTTTCATGTATGTATTTTAATTATATTTTTTATAAACTGCTTCATCATTGGAGAAAACCTAGAAGTGGTGTATGCAATATAAAACGAAAATCAAAGGATCTGTGCCTTGAGCTGCCAGGGTTAGATGAGAAAGGCTGGAAATAGCTTGCAGAGAGTGATACATAAATGTGTACTAGGGCAATGGCTATCTATATGGCACTCAAAACCTTTCCCTTTTACTTAAAATGTCACAGTGCTATTTGACTTGAATTTTTTACACTTCTCAGCAGCTGTGTCAGTACACACACACACATTAACACACTATCAATATTTGAAGTTTACTGGCAATGTTTAAAAAATCTGCACAAATCATGGAAGGAAAAGCTGGCTGGTTTTACTGTTGCATGCACGCGTGTGAATGTTGTCCTATGGTAGCTGAATTGTGTTTCGATGGAACATATACTTGCCCCACTTAACACAGTGGTACAGTACAGTATTTACTTCCAAGTAAACGTGTGCACAGCTGAATTGCAAATGTGTGATGAATATTGGGGGATGGTAAATTGCAGTGCAGCAAAAGCTTGTAGCAAAAAGACTCTTTCTTCCTGTAGCTATATTAGGAGTTTTGTAATTGACTTCAGTAATCTGGGGGAGATGGGTCCAACCGTAAACCAATCATCAAGGCACTTGTTCAGATTAGAAAATCTTGACAATTCACTTTCTCAGTATCTTCAGGTACAAGAATCTTGGAAACCTTGTTGCGAATATTGCTTTAAGAGCACTTTGGATCAGATTTGCCACATGAGACAATGGCTCTGAGTGGAATAGGAACACCAAACACTGACTTTGCATTTCTGTAACTAAATGCTTGTCTCTTAATTTCTGTGGAAGGCAAGGACAGTTAATGTGTGTCTTGTGCACTTTCTCCCCTTTTTCTTGAAATGATGATGCTGTTAGCAAAACAAAACCTCCACCGTCTAGTGTATTTTCCAGTTTTAAACATGCATTGTGATGGATGTTCATTTTCAGCTGAAATCCAGCACTGTCTGGTCAATGCTGGTGATGTGGGGTGCAGTGTATTTGAGTGCTTTGAAAACAACTCCTGTGAGATCCGAGGCTTACATGAGATCTGCATGACGTTCCTCCACAATGCTGGAAAATTTGATGCTCAGGTAAGCATAAATGCTGCAGAAATAAACAGCGCAGAGTTTTGTTAGATTTTGTTTTGTTGTGTTTTCTCATCACATTTTCTGCTTCAGCAAAAATGAACAAGTCTGAAACACCTTTGGAATAGGGGATGTTCATAACACAGAAGGTTCATTCATAAAGTCTCTTATCAAACTTACATCTTGCATTCACACACACACTTGCCACTCCTTCTTAGTAGCCCAATATATGTACTGCAAGTCCACTTCAAGTCCCACCAGCTGAAGAAAAACGCCATATGGAGATTCCACAGCATGCTAGGTGAAACAGTATGGGGGCACTTGTTTGAAAAGACAGCTTTTCACAGAAAAGACTGTGCAGTGGCTCAGAAGTCAACTTCATTTAATGCAATGGGTGTGTATTCCCAAACCCACTTGCTTAGGAGTAGACCTCATTGAACTCAGTGGCACTTCACTCAGATGTTAACTTGCTCTGTAATGTTCTTGACTTGCGGTTCTAGGACCCTAGCATCCTTCAACATACTTCCATTACCAATTGCTTGCTGAGCCCAGGAACCAAAGACTGCACTGATACGCCCATATAGAATAACATTTCCCATTGACGAAAAGTTAAGCCACTTTTTTTAAAGGGGTTGTCCCTCAAATAGTGGAGATTGTTATGGCACAGCATCTAAATATTATTCTAGCTTCATGCATAGCGCTTCCTTACACACAGAATTTATTTTAATCGCAACCTGGATCTGCAACCTCGCAATTCTAAGAATGGCTAGTGAACAGCCCTAGTTCAAAACAGTTTGGCACTTGAGGCAAGCAGAACCTCCTGCAGAGTCAATAAATAAGTCCATTTGTTATTCTTTTAGTGCCTGGGTTCCCAACATGGCAACCATGGGACCTTGTTTTTTAAACTGAGTGGGGAGTTGGCTTGTTCCATTGCCTTTTTTTTTCCAGGGGGTGCCTGCTTTTTTGTCCTACGGTTTATTCGTTTGGGGATGTCTGCAGCTGCTTTGCCTGGGTTTGGGACCTTTTCTCTCCAAACCATTTGTACATCATTGAAGCATCCTGTTATTATGTCTTGTACAGCTGCTCTCCAATTTCAGTGAAAGAGGGAAGGAGCACATTACGATGGGTCAGTGGCATTTGGCTTGACTAGGCAGTTTACAGAACACACACACATATATTTATGTGTAAAGATTTCAACCCCTAGCTAGCGGCTCTTAGCGTGGGTAGGGAGGAGAGCTGCCTTGCAGACAAAGGTGTTCTGTGCAGCTCAGCTACAAGGCTACTCCTCACTTTGGACTTGAAAACAAATCTTCCTAGTAATGTTTAAGCTGCTTCTTCAGACATGTAAGGATGTCTGCTTCCTTTCAAATGAATAGGAATCATATCACCCATTCCCTAATATTGAGACACCTTTGAAAACCTTTCCCTTGATTTTTTTTTTAAGAATGGAAAGCGAAATGTTCATTTTATATTACAATACTTGACACATTTTGTACAATAGGATTCCCATTATGGTCCATTGCCATAATTCTCCACATAATTCTCCACATTTTCCAGCCCCCTTGATGCCCATGCAGGTTGAATTAGATTATGTTGAATTTCTTCAAGTATTGAAACTTCTTCTAGGTATAGCTTTAGCAATTACAAAATGAAAATAATATATGGAATATTGGTGCATTACTCAGCAAAGAGCATTCCCCCCCCTTCAAATGCCCTCTCATCGTTTTAATGGGGGGGCATTGTTCTGTGATGAAGAAAATGCCAAACCAAAGGAACTTGCGTTCTCACGCTCAACTGCTATGATTGGTACTGTAAAATTTGAGTCAAATTTTTAAAAGAGTGTTTGCCCTATATGGTGTGCAGAACATGAAATGCTCATCAGCTCGGATGACCTGAAACGTTGAGGAATGGGAAGAATGTAGGAGGATTGCCAGCTACCTGTCATTCACCAAGGAGAAGAATTGCTGACCAATTATCCAAAGAATTGTAACACCATTGAAGCATGACTGGACTTCGAACCTAATGGCAGAAAAAGAGGGCAGAATAAGGATAAGGGATCATATAGTATGAGGCATTTTTTATCTTCAAAATCTAACCCTTCTTACTAGGCCTTTTTGGAAGTTTCAGAGTGGAAGGTGTGCCCTCCAACTTCTACTAATGCCATAATGCTATTGTGACATGCTGAATGCTGCATTTTTTCACGCTAACAGAAGGTCTTTTTTGACTGACACGTATAGGCAGGGTGAAGGACGAAGGGCCTTTTGTTAAAGTATATAATAGATAATGACAGGTTGTGACTGCAGTCCTACAGATACTTAACTGTGAATAAATCCCACTGGTTTCAAGGGACTTAGTTCTGAGTAGACATGCATAGGTGGCACTGTAAGGCCGCAGTTCTTTTGTATACCTACTTGAGAGTAAGCACTACTGAAGTCAAGTAAACACACAGGACTATGCTAGAGAAGCTGTGTCTCTGAAAACTAAAACGACACATTGACCTTTGCTGCGGGGAAGGGCAGAGGGTTGTGTAGGGTGTTGCATCTCCATGCCCTTGCAACTAGAAAACATTGCTTAGCCACACTTGGCCTTTTCCAACTATTGCCACATACGTTTAGTTCCATCTCTCAGGCACCGATTTATAAATAATAAACTAAATATGCTTGGGTTATGGGATTCTTCCCCCATAACACCCTTCTGCTCTAGCGTATTGTGATCTCAGAATATTCATAGGCCTATTTATAAAAATGTAACACAACTTTTTATAGGAAAGGCCTTATATCATTAGGGTTTTTTTGTATGTGATTAATGATCTGTGACGTGTAACTCTCTGAAGGCTTCCCGGAGAGGAGGTGGCAACTCAGCTGTAAGTCGAGCTTCATGGAGATGCAGACTTGGTGTGCTTTTTTGTGTGTCTTTCTTCAGGGAAAATCCTTCATTAAAGATGCTCTGCGGTGCAAGGCTCACGCCTTACGACACAAGTTCAGCTGCATCAGCCGCAAGTGCCCTGCCATCAAGGAGATGGTGTTACAGCTGCAGCGAGAATGCTACCAGAAGCACGACCTCTGCTCGGCAGCCAAGGAGAACGTCCAGGTCATTGTGGAGATGATTCACTTCAAAGACCTGCTGCAGCACGAGTAAGTCAGAGCTTGGCTACTGCAGTGGGAGGTGGCAGGGGAGCTCAGATGGGGAGCCCGCTCTGTGTTATCACCAGTTGCTCCAGGGACGCTCCAGTCGTGATAAGCCTGCTGTTGTGCGTCCTCACGGAATTGCACAGACCCTAATTTTACTGATCTGGGAGTGTAGGGACAGCCAGGGGGAAAAGAAATGCCTCGGGGGCCATTTCCAAACCACTGGTAGGCTTTGGTGATGCAACTGAGCCTTGAAAAAGAGGGCAACGAACAGGTACATTAGGATAGCACACTACTGGGTGCCTGAGGGCTTATCCACACTTAATTCCTCTACAGTTTCAAGGCACAGACTGCTCTTTAAAGCTCCATGTCTGAGCTCATTTTTTTCCCTCCAGAGTTTTCCCCATAAAAACCCGCTCTTTAAAGCTCAAACACAGCAAACAGCAATCCATGGGAAACCCGAATGGACGTTTGCTCCAATTGAATGCTAAAGAGCAGGTTTTTGCTTGGGGAAAGCCTGGGGCAGAAATGAAACAGCGCTCAGTTATGGAGCGTTAAAGGTTAATGTGGATAAACCCTTAGTCAACAGAAAGAAATCAATGTCATTGCAAAAGGATTTCCTACTGTCTTGCTAGGCTGCCACTCCCAGATTTATCCCTTGTATCTTCTTGGATGTACTTGGGGACTGATTTATACATTGCATTTGAACTAGGTACACTAAATTTAGTGTGTTCTGGTTTTTTTCTTCAGCTGCCCTCTTGATATTTTGGACAACTGTCATCAGCTCCAGCTGGCACAGCCAATGGTTGGGGATGATGGAAGTTGTCCCAAGCATCTGGAGGGGTTGGGTGCGGCTGTTCTGTTGTAATATATGGGCTGTGGTTCCTTAACCATCTACAGAACGTCTGTGCGACCTCAGATGTATTTATTATTTCATAAAATGTATATACCACCTGATTTGGGGGGGGAATCAAAGCAGTTTACAAAGGGAAGCTTCTTGACTCTGTTCAGTTGCACTTAGGGGTTTTCCCTTAAGTGCCCAAGATCAGAAACATACTTCTTGAGAACTATCCCAAAAGACATCCTGTGAATGCTTCTGTCACAGATTTTATTCTGGGGTATAGCATCTGTGGTGTAATTGTTGTTGGATGTTTGTTTGTTTGTTTGTTTGTTTTTGTAAACATGACTCTGATTACTCTGGATCTCTCTACCGTATTTCTAAACACCTTCTTCACACAGGTATAAAAGTGTGGAAAGATGGCAGGTGGTCCAATTACCTCACATGTACTGTATGGACCACAGCCTGGAAAACCAGTTTGGAACAGGGAAGGAATGTGTGGATATTATTAATGGCATGCTCAGTCTTTTAATTGAAATCAAGGGTTGTATCTTCAAAAAATTATATACGTTGCTTCTTAAATTAAAAGATGAAAGGGAGTGGTGGTGCTGGCATGCAAAAAGAACCCTAATTAGATTTGTCCCAATACTTCTTGTTGGTGCATTGTATCCTCACATAACTGGCTTATATATTATAAGGGGAAATGTCAGGCTTTACAAACACACAAATCCTCAGAACATACTCTGACTTTACACATGCAAAATCCTAGTGAGGCCAATTTTTGGTGAATGGTTGGCAAAGACCGTACTGTTAATATCTAACTTGCCAAAATATAGGTACAAATGCTCCACTTACTTCTTGTTTCTCTTAAAAGCTCATTTCCCCCGCTTCAAGAATGGCAACAAAGGGACTCCTAAAACCTGTCTTAGGTTGAATATATCAGTGTTAGTTCAACTTCTTATTCGGATCAGGATATGCTTTTAAAAAGAATGCAGCTTTGACAGCTGTTTGTCTCTAAAATGTGGAAGCATTTGTTACTCAGTGTAGCAATCAACAGTTACTGTTGATTCACTATGAAGGAACAGCTCTCCCCAAAATCCTGCTTTTAATCCTTCTGGGATTCTGTACAGGATTGAGACCTTTGTAGTGTTCAGGAATGGAGCTGTTGTGGAAGTAGTATAGTCCAGTGAAAATAAACTTGAACTTTTAGAAGTAAAGAGAAAAGAAATGATTGTTTTTCAAACTATATTCTTCCTTTTTTTAAGAGAACCACCAGCGTAGTGGTTAAGAGCGGTAGACTCGTAATCTGGTGAACCGGGTTCGTGTCTCCGCTCCTCCACATGCAGCTGCTGGGCTAGTCACACTTCTCTGAAGTCTCTCAGCCCCACTCACCTCACAGAGTGTTTGTTGTGGGGGAGGAAGGGAAAGGAGAATGTTAGCCGCTTTGAGACTCCTTAGGGTAGTGATAAAGCGGGATATCAAATCCAAACTCCTCTTCTTCTTCTTCAGCCTAGCATAAGACACCATATACTGAACATTGTGATGTACAGCTTGATGCAAAATGGTGGGCCTTTTTCTCCCCAATTGTTATTGGAAATGGCTGAAAAGTATCAACTCCCTTAATATCTTCACTCCCATGGAATCAAACGCCAACCTCCTCAAATTTTTTATTTTTGTGAATAAAAATTTCAAACGTTGAATAGTCAAACATTTCATAGGTTCTTTTGTGTCAATTGTCAGCACCACAATCATGAGAAACACCTTTGATATTTCTAAACTAATCTTGTAAATTTTCTTTGCTATGTAATCATTAGCACACCTTGATGTTAACAGTCACAATATTGTGGTCTACAGCCAGGTTGTTTGGGCACCAGATAAGATCATGCATGACACCCCATGCCAGCAATAGCCAAAGGAGGTACAAATGGATAAAGAACTGAGTGGCTGCACCCTGTGGCAAAGTTTGTAAGGTTCCATCCTACCCTTCTTCCCAAAGGAGGCCAGGGCCGCAGTGCTTATTCCATATGAGTATATGACTGCAGCCTAAATGGTTGTTAAGGATGAGGACTGGGAGCTTTTTTAATGAACGAGTTCTCAAAGAAAGCTCAGAATCCAAATCTAAATTGTACATTCTGAAATAATCATATAGATATTTGAGTATGAAAGGAGGTAGCTAATCAGTAAAAACAAGAACAACGTGACTGGTTGCCACAACTTAAAACAAAAAAGAAAATTCCTTGTGATCCTCAAATCGAATATTATGGCTTGTCTGTATGACAGATGTGGAATGCATCTAAGCTCATTAGAAACTAAAAGTCTTCTGCTATGAATAAATCAGTATGATATTATGTTACAGAAGTTAAAAAAATACTGTTGACAAAAATGCCAGTGGTGTTTAGATGATCAAGTAATACAGTATATCCATTTTTGGTGGAGGTTATAATAATATTGGAGACAAGGGAGCAACCACAAACGTACATACACATTCCCATAACACAAATGGTAAAGGAAAAGCACTGTTTGTTTGCCAACTGGGTTTAATACCAGCTGTCATACTTGAAAATAACAGCTAGGGGGAAACACTCTTACTTCTCTGCCCCTGAAGGTATTTTGTCAAGACTATAGGCTTGCCTCTCAGATTTGATCTAAGCATATCCATAGGAAACATCTGCTGTGGTTTCTAACAACTTAACAGTCATTAGCTTTAATAGTCAAAGCACTATGTTCCACATTGAATTATTCCACTCCATAATGCATAGTACAGTTTATCCCAGCCTTAACCACTCCTCTGATTGCCATTGGCAACTACGAATTTTACCCAGACTAGTGAGGAGGCTGACGAAGAAGAGATTTAGTGTTCTGTCCATCCTTCAGTGGTCTCTCATGAGTAAAAAGTAGGTGTGTTCATTGAAAGGGGGAGACAGTAGTCATGTTCATTAATTTCAATGGGATAAGCATTTCCCACAATCCCTTATTCTGATATTGCAGTGGATATTTCCCTCTTCTACCAGAATCAGCCAATTACGTAGAATGGGGGCAGGCTGTGTTCCATCACTGTAATGACCCAGAGGAGATGGTGGGTGTTGCCCCTCATCAATCTCTTTGAAGGAGTTTGAACCAGGCACCGGCCATTTTGTGGAAGAAGTCACTTCACAAGAAGTCTCCAGCTTCTCAGAGATGAAATAATGTGTAACAGACACTGGAGCTGCCTGGCAACAATACGATAAACGGATATGGTTCTCCTAACACAGGAGCCCTTTCTGAAGCCACACATGCTTGCCCCACTATTACACCTGACACAAGCCCACCACTGTCTCAAGGGAAGATCTGAATGCATGAAGCCTGTTGAATTTGTACCTCTATGGATTCCAGTTAATGGTGGCTGCCTACTCATATTTAGGTAGACTTACCACCACACATTCACACTTAACACCATCCCCCAACACATTGATGGTATTGGGACAGGGGCTGGCACAGGGTGAGCATCTCTCCCCACTCTGTCTCTCCATGTGATCTCAATTTCAGGGGGAGAAGCCTCTGAAGAGGGCTAATATGGCTCCAATAACTGGTGCAATTCTCATAATATTGGGGGGGGGGACTGGTTGCTGTACCATTTCCAACAACCAGAACCCACCCAAATTCCACTGGGAGCACTGCTCTGGCAATAGAAGATTTCTCTCCAGGAAGGCTCGTCTAATATTTTCCGAACCACTATCTTATCACCTCTCTGCGCCAAGGTGAACGCCTTTTGATCTGCCCAAGTCTTTTTCTTTGTGATTTACACTGAGGGTTTGTTGTTGCTGTAATTTTGTTTGTTTTAAACCTGACTTCTATTGTTAATCTTGTTTTAAAAAACTTTTTAGAAACTGTTCTGAAAGTCCTGGGACTGAAGAACAGGGTGGTAGGAAACCGCAATTCAATGTGGGGCTGCTGAGCTGCCTTTGTCTTTTGGGTTCAGGCCTGAAATATATTGATTATTTTCTTCTGATTATTTCTTCTGATTATTATTTTTTTCCCCTAGGCCGTATGTTGATTTAGTGAACACCTTGCTCACTTGTGGAGAGGAGGTTAGAGAGGCCATCACTCGGAGCGTCCAGGCCCAGTGTGAACAGAGCTGGGGCAGCCTGTGTTCTATCCTGAGTTTCTGTACCTCCGTCCCACATGGAGATTTCACCCTTGAACCAGAGAAGAAGCCAAATGAAGTCCCCAGATCCTCTATTAGTCAAGGGGACATTATAGTCCACCCTGAACCCGACGCCAGAGAGAGCTCCCGAAACACCAGAGGGGAGAGAGGTAGCAGGCTTCCTGGGAATGCCCAGACCCGCACTAAAGCTGGGAGCCACAGTCCCAAAGCGGCTCACGGGATTGTCGAACAGGCAGAGGAACTGTCTGACTTCTCTGACATCCGGAGGTGAAAGGAGGATGTAGCTCTTCTTTCCCCCTGCACCAGAACCTTCCTCCATTGAGTTCATCTTCTTATCTAGGGGCATTCCAAAATATGTACAATATAGAGGGGTGGTGTCAGGCATAGGGCATTGTGGGATATGTGGCAGTGACAGTGTATGTATTATAAGTAACAGAGGAAAAGCAACAGCTATTGGTTATTGATTGTATCCAGCAAATTCAATGTGTAGGTGCAACAAAATGTATTCATGTAAATCCTTTCATCTCTTCAAAAAAAGAGGGGAAACGGGAGATTTTAGATGCAGGTTTGGGGTGGTGGTTAAGGGATTTGCCCACATTTTAATTGGTGAACATGTAGACCAGGTTCAACATTGAGTCTCAAGGCAGAAAATAATCTCTAGTCTCCACTCTGTTAGAGGCAATGAGGGCTCCAGATCAGCTGCAGAGGAACTCAGATACAGAGCTCTGCATAGGGGACCTTGGAATTGCAAACTAAATTGTCTGTCTGAGCCATTGATCCTGTCTAAGTGACACCACCTGCCTTAAGTGTCCCTTGCATTGGTTTGGGTGGCTCTTAGCTGACCTCTTCTGCTTTTTGTTCCAGTTTCCTTAGGAAATAGGCTGATAAGGGAATCAGTTTCTGGACAAGGACATTTTCAACCAACTCAAAATCATGCCAATTTCTTTTTTCTTTTCCCCCCAAAACATCATAAAAGAATCCACCTGGCTTCTGACTGCAGTGGGTTTCCCAAATACCGGTAACTCGCATCTTATGATTATTTCACTTGCACGAGCCTGGCTGAGGGAAAATAAATAAAGAAATGGAGAGCAGGGGAAACCCATTCTCCTTTTATTTATTTATTTGTTTATTTACGCACAAACACACTGAGCAAAGCTGCGATCACAGACTTACCTGGCTTTGGGAAGCATCCCAGAGCCCTCGCTGTGTCTGCAAACTTCCTTAAGCTGGGCAGGCAGACACCTGGCTTTGGGAAGGAGGCGTGAGGCATAAGGGCTCTGGCAGGGTCCTAGAGCCCTCCTTCATCTGTAAAGCTGGGCAAGTGCTTACTAGGCTTCGGGAAGGAGGAGTGAGGACTCTAGGACCCTGTCAGAGCCCTCATGCCTCCTTCGCAAAGGCAGGCAAGCCTTCAGAGAGCTCTACGGATGTGTGCTTTGAGAAGGTGGAAGGGCTTTGGGACACTGCCAGAGTCCTCACACCTCCTCCCCAAAGCAGATACGTAACCCTCCACCCGGGGGGGGGGGCGTTTCCAGGGGTTCACCCTACAACCGCTGAAACCCAGCCCTCGTGTGAGATGCGAGTTTCCTGTACAGCGTATATATGGTGGGCTACAACTTGCTTAGACACGAAGCTCTTTTTTGGGGGGAGGTTGGAAGAAAAGTTCTTCTCTCCCTGAAAGCAGGACCACAATGTTTGCTGAGCTATAGAAATCCTGTGCTCTAAGGTTGACTCTGTGTGTGTGTGTGTGTGTGTGTGTGTGTGTGTGTGTCTTGCCAAAGAAATGGTGATGTAGAATAAGCGCAACCCAGCACCGTGCAATGATTTAATCAGGATAACTACAGGAAGCTTAACTCGTCTTGACACCTCAGCCCCAGCCACATTTTCTTGGAAGTAACTTCCCATATATTTCAGTGGAACTTGCTTCTCCTAAGTGCGTTTTGGGCTACAATCTCTGTTATTATCCAGAGTTAATATGCTTTATTCCATCTTTACTTCTAAATAAATCTCTCTCTATCGTTAACTAAGATCACTCAGGACACTACATTGCATGGGAGGGACTGCAGTAGTCCTTAAATCGATGAAGCAGGTTTTGGTCAGAGACGGTAATACTACATTAATAGCTCCTGTGGCTTCAGAACGCTTTGGCGACAGTTCCCTCAGCGGAAAGGCAGTATCAGAACGAAATCCCAGTGTAGTGGCTTCTTCTGCACACCGACCTCCTAGGTGCAGGGACTTCCCCAGTCATGGCCATGTGCATTCATGCACATTGCATATGCAAAGCTAGCCCTGGCTGTAGGACTTCGCCTCACTCGGACCAGGAACAACATAGTATAAGCCTTTCCTCCCTTGAGGAACAATAGAATTGTTCATGCAGCCAGGGAATTTTATTTACACTATTTCAAACAAGGGCAACTTTTGTGATTGTGTCAAGCAGTGAATCCAGGTCCCACTGAAGCAACAATATAGATGAGGTCCCCTTGTTGATGTAAAATTGTTTGAAATGATCACCATACCATCAGCTTACATAGGTACAACCCCAACAAATCAAGCCCCTATATTTTCATGTCACTAATTGAATCTTCTGGAAGTCAGATTTACTTATGGGAACCAAAACACAGAGACACCACTGAATGTCTGTCAACCGATCACCTCAGCATGCATATAATTTATCTTCATTCAGTAAATATATGTTCCCCTTATAGCTTACACAAAGGAAATTCAGGTGTTTTTTGAGGAGGTGGATATAATACCTTTCCCCCCCTCTGTGTATGAAAATTGGATGTATGTGTTCACCTACTGATTCCACATTTTCTTTTATTGTAAATATTTAACGTTTCTATTTATTATAGTTTCTCCATTTAAAAATAATAATAAATCTGAGCACTGCTGGCTAAGGTAATTTAAATATATTTCAGGACCTGTGTTGTATATATTAATGCCACTAGTAGATTTTTGTTATTGTTTAAAGCAAGGGAAATATAATTTTATACACTCCATAATGTTATTGACAGCATAAATCACTTATTTATTGTTAACTTTCATTTCTAAGAGATAACAAGTGCATTTAACCTGATAGTTTTGTCAAGACATCTGTATAGCCTTACTTCTTGAAAATAAACAAATTATCAGCTGTCCGCTCAAGGAGCCAATAATATTTTAACCCGCATAACTTGTGACAACAACAAAAAGTTCTTTTAAAATTATGGACACAGCGCAATTAATGTTAAGCAGTTCTGCTGTATACTTCTGTGCCTGTTTACTCAGAAGTAAATCACAGGGATTGGCCACAGTTCTGCTTGTCCTAACACTTTCCCCCAGAAAAACCCTGAATTAGAGCAATTCAGAAAAACCCTGAATTAGAGAATTGCTGAATTAGAGCAAACGTCAATGGGGTTTTTTGTGGATTGACATTTGCTCAGATTCAGCAGTAAGGAGCAGGTTTTCCCGGGGAAAGCGGCGGGGCAAATGTAAAAGCAGAAGGGTGGGTGAGTCCTCAGCGCATTCAACAAGACTTGCATCCAGGAAAATGGACATTGGATTGCAGCCTTTATAATCTTGCTGGGTTGTATCCAATGTTGGTCATATACAGCGAGGACCCATTGAAACTAATGGACTTAACTAACTTGAATTCATTAATTTCAGTGTTTCTACTCTGAGTTGGGCGTAGTTGGCTACAACTCATGGAGCTCAGTCATTAAGTGAATACATTTCAGCCTTTGAAAGCAGAACTGAAAAGTGCTTAACTGGCTGAATCATGCCAGACTGGTGGAAAACGTCCATTACTACTGCTTTACAGTTTCCATTCATTTCAGTACAGAGCTACTATCCCTTCAAACAGGTTTGACAAATCCACTTAGCACAACGCGGAGATCCCTCCCGCTAATCTGGAGAGCAGAATCAATGCGACCCTCCCATTAACTCCAGAGTAGATGCAAGGCTGCCTCATATGCTGGGCTCTGGAGCAAGCCAAAGTAATTTACACTTCTGTCTGCCTAAAGCTCCTGTACAATGAGAAACTGTTAAAAGATGCATATCTGAACCCACATATGTGTCCACCACATGTATCGATCCAATGCGCACTTTTGAGAGGAATGGAACCTTTTGCGTGGAGTCAGTACGTGCATCCATTTAAAATGTGTGTAAACCTTTAAACCTTATGCCTAATAAAGAACTTGCCACACCAGGAAGTAGAAGATTGGTTTATTGCACAGAAAAGAAAAGCAGAGTATATGTGTGCTGCTCTTAAGACACCCAAGTTACAAATATGCAAGGAGCAAATCATTCAGTACAGACACCTTAGTCTGGAAGTGTGAAAGGCAAACCAAAAGTCTAGAGAAAGTGAGCAGTGATGGGGTATACCTGAACTTGAAGCATGCAGAGTGCAAAGTTAGATTTGAGATCTGTATGCAAAAGTTAAGCTCATCCCTTTGAAATCCCATGTCAGCAAGGCAACAAATCTTTCAGTTCTTTTGGTCCAGTACCAGTGAATATAGGGTTGATCATTGAAAACATTTAAGAAGAAAACAGGTGTCCCCATTAGAGCCATGGCTAACTCTTTGAAACCTGGGGTTTATGAATATTTTAACTATTGGCTAACTTCTATGGAAGCAAGCTAGGAATCCCAAAAGGTGCTGAGTCCAGCAAGCAAGCAATCCCAAAAGGGGCAGACTCCGTCACAGAATCCTGATTAAATGGGGCCATGTGGAATGGTATTTTTGATGAGGACAATGTCATGTGGCTGCTGTGGAAAAAAAATCCATTGAGTAGCAGCAACTCCACAATAAAATTTTCTGCGAGCCTAGATCTAGCTAAAATGGAAAGAAAAAGGAATAATTCAATCCACAGAAGCGGAAGAGGAAGCTCCCTAAAAATTGCAGACATTCATAAAGTTGTACTTTTCCCATAAAAACAGGTGGGTGGATAGGGTGGGTATTCAAATGTGGACACATTTTGCCAGGAATGCGCATATCAAATCTTGAGGCTCTTGTCTTGATATTGCAATTGCAAAGGAGATACGGCATGGCAAACCCAAGGTATTAAATGTAAGAGTTAAACTAAAGCCCCTACTTAACTTGGCCAGAAATTGCAGATCTCTTTAAGGAGTTATGGGTAGGACTGAGGGTTGTTGGTTTCTTTTATATATATATATATCCTGCTGAATTCTGGTAGAACAGCAAATCCTGGATTGCGAAACAAAACAAACCCCCACCCACAAGTGAAATCTGAATTCTCTAAAGTCAACAATCAGCAAAGGCAAGTAGAGTGCCTTGCTGTGCCTTGGCATATTATTTTCTGTCTCATCACTTGGGGTTATTTAAAGGGATAGGGAGAGGAATTATGAGCAGAGCAGCCCATGCCCTACGGCAGGAATTGCTTATGGCTGCTTGAAAAGCACATTTTAATGCCCCTTCTGTGAGGTTTAAAAATAACTAATCCAATTTAAACCCTCGGATGAGATGGGACTTTGCAAGCTTAAGTTTGATTTGCAGGAAACTATGACCTGTCATATTCATGCTTAAGGTGCATTGCCATCCGCAGTTTATATGCATAATCCTCCATGGATTAGTTTTAGCCATTGGATAAAGAGGAAAGGGAATGTTTCCTGCCAGATATATGGTGACAGACCTTAGTAGGAAATGGTCCCTAGCCAAGCTACAGGATTTCTGAAACAAGATGAGAAGCTGACTTACTTGCCATGTGTTGTTCACTTCTGTGAGCGCTTTTTGCAAGCCTTGGTTTGGGGTTCTGAATGTACGAGCCCTTGATCAGACCACAGGGCGATATAGTTCAGCATCCTATTCTCACAGCGGCTAATCAGGTCCTTCCCTCCAAGCAGGACATGAGTGCTATAGCATTCTCCCTGCTCATGTTTCCCAGCAATTCAGACATCCTTCCTCTGATACTGGACATTATACTAGTACCCATTGACAGCCTTATCCTTCGTGATTTCATCTAACCCCTTTTAAAGCCATCCAAGCTGGTGGCAATCACTAAATCTTGTGGGAGCAAATTCCATCGTTTGACTGTGTGGTGGTTGAAGAAGCAGTTTCTTCTCCGGGGCCAACTGTATGTTGGCTATTGCACTGTGTGTCTCATTGTCTCTACCTGACATCAGCAGCTGGTAGGGTAGGGGAGACACACTGTGTGATGACAGCATAAGGTGCATTGCTTGCAGTAGATACCACAGAGAATAGAAGGAAAAGAGACCCAGATCTGCAGCTGTTCTTATATCACCCGTTCTGATCCTTGGCCCAAAGCCAGTTTGTAGAGTTAGATTCGGCCAACTCCAACTGTCCCTGGAAGACTGAAGGGAATTATTTCTGTACACGCTCTACCTTAGGAGTGGCTGAATTTTGGTGCCTTTCCTTTCCTTCAAGGGGACGAGTCTGCAAAGTAATATAAAAATACATAAATAATGCAAAAATATCTGTGTTAGCAGTTATGCACAAAGAAGTCAAATGCACTGGCTTCCATTTAGCTTCTGAAAACATTTCAGTAATTTGTTTGGTTTTATATGTGTGCGTTTAAAGCCTAAATAATGCAGGAACATGAAAAATACAGGAAGGTGTACTACCTAGGAGAGGTCCACAGCTACCTGTTACAGAGGCCACTTTGACATGTAAGCAGCATAATAAATAACAATAAAACATTGGATATGATTCAAAAGCAGTAAGGGCCCGGCTACATATCTCCATGACATTTGAACTGTTCGTTCCCACATGGCACCTCTGCCATAGCTGCTACCCAAGTTAGACATCTTCTTAACCATTATTACCCTTTGTTCCATATATAGTCAGCCACTTTGACAATGCCAGAGAGGGAAGAGATGGCTACAGTTGCTTAGCAACCATAAAAAACAGTCCCCAGACTTCCCCACTGAAGCCTTCACTAAGCAACTGAAGACAGGGGGAAAGAGTGGGTTGCCCCCAAACTAAAAAAAAGGTAGCGTTCTGGTTTTTGTCATATTTGTTTCACTAGTGTAAAAACTCCTATGTTAGCATAAGACATGATGTGTAAATCCAAACCTCACAACCAAGGATTGAAAACCATGACTCAGGAATTTGAAGATGAGGCATTATGCACAAGCCACAAGGGACTTGAATCCCTACCTCCGTCAAAGCCTTACGGCTGTAGCCCTAAATTATGAGATTTTCTACAAATACCATGGTCTCTTACTAAAGAAATTGTGGTTTGGAACTGAGCTGGAAATTCAATTAAAAACAGAGTCTGCCTTCCTTGCAAATAAAAAATAAAAAAAATCTGTTTCATGGGTTTCCAGTGCAAAAACGGACCATGCCTTAGAACAGCAAAGACTAGGAAACCACAGTGTTCTTGTACAATGAGGGAAAGTAGTATTTTAATCCACCTCAATGAGGAGGAGTCTGATGTTAATGTGTGATGGAAACGTGTGGAAGTATACAGTATTTTGATTACGAAGAGATAAGTGGTATCCAAAAATTATATCCCTGGTGCCTTATTGATGGCTTCCACAAGAGCCTGAATTTGCATAATAGACAATATTTTGGCCTGTTCGGTTGTGTTTATGTGTAGGTGTTATATAATGGAAGATGAGCTTATTTTTTGACTATAGAGATAAGGCAGTGAGGTAACCTTACCTTACCAGGCCATGAGGTCACTTTGGGCTAATTGCCAGGATTGATGATTGATTCATGGGTTTACAGGATCAAAGCCATGAGAATGACAGGGACTAGTGCTTCTCGAGCTAATAATAGAAGAGGACAGCTTGCCAACTCTTTGACATACCTTAGAGTGGTACGTGATGATGCCATTGGTACTTCTCCTGGCTGACCACAGAGACAAGGGTGCCTGTCATATTCCAGTGCTCAGATAGTATAAATTTGGGAGACTGGAGCACTATAGAGACCAAGAGACCAGAATGTAGATCTCAACACAGACGGAGGTTCCAACCCAGACCTTGTGAACAGAGAGAGACAGAGAGAATCCTGCTCCAAGAATGACCTTTCATAAGAATGGAATGCTCTGGCAAGGGTTATGCTATGATAGTGCTTAAATTTGCCTTATTGATTGTGTATATGTATTTTATGTCTAATATTTGTTGTGTAGCTAATACAGTTGCTAAAACGTCACCCATATATCGGAAATGTTGGTTTTTGCAAAACAACAACAACTCAACAACTTTTGTGTCCGCATTTTCACTTTGTGAAATACGGCAACCCTATACCAAATGCAACCTATTATTGCATGGGGGCTGCAAGGGACCGTCATTTCCTAAGACAAGTACTTGTTGAAGATATGGAACAGAGTCCTTGGGTGTGTTTTTAGCCTCCTATTTCCACTAATCCTTGGAATCCTACAAAAGATACCAGCACAACACAGTTTCGTTAACAGAGCCCCACATTGTTACCATCAGCTTTTGCTTGTTAGATTTCTCCACTTGGCAGAACAACATTTTGAGGGCCTACCAGTGACAATGAGCCCCCTAGCCCAATGTAAGGGCCAAGTCCTCTATTACTATGTCCACATGTTGAATCTAAATGCATGGCAAATCTAACTCTAACTCAAAAGAAAGCCAAGAAGTCCTTCTGGGTGTAAGAAAACCTTTTAACCAAAAGGGAAATATACTTCAGGAAGTTGATTTTTTTTGCTCAACACCATCGTTTTGACCCTATTTCAAGTTCTATGCACATTGTTTTGCGCCATGCTCTGCACTTGAAACATGTACGCCTCACCCCTGCAAGTCTGTATGACAATTATTTCAACTCTTCACCCTCCTGTTGACAAATCATTCATTTAAAGGCTTCTGTAATCTGAACTCACTAATTTGTTTAGTGATGTCACCAAAGTTCATGCTTATCGGGCTCATAATACAGTTTTGTTCCGTTAAACATGCTTGGCTGCATTGTTAAGTGAGCATCATGTCCCTGACAGTTCTTCAGATGAAAAATGAGCCAGAGAGTTTGTACCTTCTCCTTTTTCAGCACTCAATAATGGCACTATCCCAGGTGTTCGGTATTTGGGGAAATATAAATTTCCCAGGATGTTTGAGTCATTAGTATTGTAGCTGTGGGGACGGAATAGAGGTCTCCTAACAATTCTCATCATCCTTAACAGTCCCCAGGAATCTTTGTGGGAAGCCATGACTATTTAAAGTGGTATGATACTGTTTTAAATGTATAGTACAGATGGGCCACAGTCCAAAGTTCTTTCAAACATGGGTTCTTTTTGGGTTGCAGCCACAGTTAATCCTACTCAGATCCGTTAAAATTACTGAATATGAGTAACTTAAGCACATTAATTTCAGTAGATCTACTTTATGCGGGTGGCGCTGTGATCTAAACCACAGAGCCTAGGGCTTGCCAATCAGAAGGTTGGTGGTTCAAATCCCCGCGACGGGGTGAGCTCCCATTGCTCGGTCCCTGCTCCTACCAACCTAGCAGTTCTAAAGCATGTAAAAGTAGATAAGTAGGTACCACTCCAGCGGGAAGGTAAACGGTGTTTCCGTGCACTGCTCTGGTTCGCCAGAAGCAGCTTAGTCATGCTGGCCACATGACCCAGAAGCTGTATGCCGGCTCTCTCGGCCAGTAAAGCGAGATGAGCGCCGCAACCCCAGAGTCGTCCGCGACTGGACCTATCAGTCAGGGGTCCCTTTACCTTTACTTTAAGTAGGACTAAGTTGAACAGTACATCCCTTCATAAGAACGGAGGTATGCTGAGCTATAAGAGAACTGCACCTTTAGTAAAACTTTGAGCATTGGAAGAATTCATCCTTACTTAAGTGTGCAGGAGAGATTTAAGCAGACAGTTAATTTTCTATGAAGGGAATTAGGTTTCTTGGCTGTGTGTAGATGGGGCGGGGTGGTACAAACATAGCCAAAGAGGTATGTGTTGATAGGATTAGGCACTCATGAGGTGGGCAGGCCCAGGTTCAGGCAATGTGCATCCTTGATTTCTAAAGGAAATGAGGGTATTTTTAGCTGTTCTCTGCTGACAGATCCAGTTCCTGGGGACAGGAAAGAGGTTGAATATAACACCATCCCTCAGGCTGCAGGGGCCTGGGAGATGTAGCCTAACTACTACAGCTGAGCTAGCATTAAGCATGAAGAAACATTAGAAAGGATTGAGTGAAAGGAGGAGGGTGAGCTTGAAAGGCATATCTTACAAGTCGGTCACTTAAAAGAGAGGGGCTGCCCTTTCTTAGGCCCAGTTCCAGAAAGCAGACTCCTCTTTAGTAAAAATATTCATCTGACTTACTTTCCTCTCAGCAAAGAGATTAGGTAAAAATAGCCTGCCCTACCCCCATCGACCCTCTCTCACACATACACAGACCAGAGCTCTAATATGGCCCTTCTCTGTAGAGACTGAGCAAGTTTTCCTCACTTAGAAAGGTTTTTTGCTGCTTCACTTCTCTCAGGAGCGTCAGAGTCACACAGCACAAAGAAAGGGCAATGAATTATCATCCACCTCTTATTATATTAACGACTCTCTTAACAAAATTCCAGCTGCATTTCTTAATGGGCGTACACTTCCTTCAAGGAGTAAAACTGCAATGGCCTCTAGGTTTTTCAAACAGCACACTACACATTTATTTTATTAATTTTTAATTCCATGAATTACACTCACAATATTGTTTGCATTATTCTGCACAGCTCATGATAAGGAGAGGTTTACAGTGTTGTAGTCACTGCCTTCCAATAGTTTCACGTGCACGGAAGTCCTGTGGGTATTCATAAATATGGGAGAGGCAGAAGAATCACAGGGATTGAGTTCATAGGAGAGTGTGGAATTTAATTACAGTCTTTTATGGACGAAAATAGTGACCTTGACCAAGTGAATATGGTATCCTCCCTAACCTGCTTGGCATATATTATGGCTGTGTGTCCTACTTTATTTGAAGAGCTGTCTGATCCAAGCCTGATTTAAAGATAAATAACCATAAGAAGAGAAAGCAGGGTAGAGGTGGGGAAGAAATTACATTCACATTTTAAAGTGCACCTACTTAATTCACCCTTCCCAAACCACTGTGCAAACTAACATGCATCTATCCTTCAAAATCCTCACTTCTGTAGTGCAGTTTCCAACAAACAAAAGATGCATACAAAAATGTGTATATTAGAGAAGAGTGCACACACCAATGCATATATTAGTGGAAAATACTTCAGGAAAATGCAGTACACTAGGGGGAATTGCTTGCAAACTATGTATATTAGGCAAAATTGCGTACAAAATGTATATTCAAAATGGGTCTGATTTTTCATGCAGAGTTTTGGATTTTGTTTTTGTTTCTGTTAAAGCAAACTGTACAGAAATGGAGAGGGCTGAATTTAAGGTTTTAAAAAAATTAGAATCTGAGAAAAACTAGAATTCACAGATTTATCCATCTCTAGAGAAGGGGTCTGAAAGTTGCAAATCAACCATGTGCTCCTTGGTAGCAGACTGAGCAGGTACACACAGGTCACTTGGTCGCTGTCTTCCACACTATGATGAGATGCTTTTCTTTCTCAGTTACAGTAATTATTTCTAACTTTGCATCTATACACATATAAATTAGCACATAGTATCTTATGCAAATGTGTTTACTTTTGTCCTCTTTTTATTTTTATTTTTGAGTGACTGTCCAACTTCCCCGGTATCAGCCCCCCATACCTCCCCACTCCCACCCCCTGGAAACCAATAGCAGCCGACATCACATCTGATAGCAGCACTGATGAAAATGAAAGAAATGAAATTTATAAAGCATGGGAGGCATCAAATAAAGAATTTGACAAGTGGAATGCCAAAACTTTTGATATATTGTAAGACTGGTATTATCTTCATTTCCCAAGAACATCTAATGATAAGGTTCTCCATCCAGATGACAGATAACCGTGGGGCTGCTAACTATAGCTGAAGAGGCAGGCTCTTGTGGGAACCTAGTTATCTTCTTGGATTCCAGTTCCTAGAAGCTGTTATCAGTGCTCTGAGAATTTATCCTGTTCCAGGTGATACAAACATACTAGCACTGCCTGGATAGCTCAGTTGGTTAGAGCATGGTGCTGATAACACCAAGGTTGCAGGTTCAATCCTTGTATGGGTCAGCTGCATATTTCTGCATTGCAGGGGGTTGGACTAGATGCTCCATTGGGTCCTTTCCAACGTTATGATTCTATTATATCTACCACCACCACAGGATTTTATTATTAGTACTATAGCCCTCCTAGCCTTGAGCCATGCAATATCTGGTTCTCAAGTAACTAATGGAGAAGAGCAATTCATCCTTTAAAATATCAGGGTGTATGCATTCCAGCTTCGCTTTTAAAATAATAAAAATAGAGCTAAACATTTTCAAAGCAAATGTTTGTGAGCCATTGCTACAGAAACATCTTGCATTCACTTGCCTTAAAAAACGGGTGGGGGGATAGGTTCGTTTTCATGCCAGGGTGGTAATTCATAAACAGTCAGTCTGTTAAAAAAATAATAATAATAACAGCTTTTAGAAACTTTTCATATGAATATGGTGTAGTGCAGGTTTTTTGGGGTTTTTTTAGGTGGGCTGCAATACTCACAATTGTTTATTTTCAAGGCAGTGTCCAGTAGGTGCTTGAAATACGCACATTGCCACATAGCGCCTGAAACGGCAATGGACATACAGTAGTCGTTGGGGCAAGAATCACAAACTGTCCCCGCTTGCCACAGGTACAAAATGTGCTTGTGGTGAACTGGGCATGTGGGTGGCTCATCATGAATTTCAGATCCCAATTTTTCAGTTATGCTCCTGCTGTGAGGGTTTAAGTGATATGGGAACTTTTAGTCTCAAAACTGAAGACAAGCCCAATTGGATCAGACACCCAGGATCCATCTGTTTCAGAACCTTGCTTCCAGGAGCCATCACTGAAATGCTTCTTGGAAGCCCATAAGTGGGGTGTGAAGGCATCAGTCTTCCCCATTGTTTGTCCTCTGGAACCTGGCCCTCAGCGGATTCCATTGGACGATCATAGCTAATAGCCTGTTGTTATTATTAAGAGCCATTCACAGAACTGGTTTATCATAAGCACTCTTTGCCCTCAGAATGAAAATGGGCAGGTTTGCCACAAGCCCAAGGGGCTGTGTGAACTGGTTCTAATTTCAAAAAGGCGCCTGCTATTAACCTTTTTAAAAAACACAGCAGGAGGTTGAGTGATCACATATCATATGTCATTTGACCCTTAGACTTGTGTAGTGCAGTAATTTCATTTGAGGCTCCCTGGGCAAGAGGCTTTGTTATAGGGCAGCTAGAGCTCAGGCCCTTCTTTTTCTGACATGTATCCTCTGTTTCCTTATTCTCCATCGCCATCTTGCTGCCGTTTAGAGATCAGCACCTATTGAACTAGAATGCCAACCGGAAAGTGACATTATTGTAACATGCGCTTTATTTTTAAAGTGAAAGGCAAATACAAAGCAGTTTAACAAGACAACAGGGTGGCCGTGTGTCCTACTTTGCAGAGGACACTCCTCTCTCCAAAGGGCCATCAGACATCAGCCCTGTTTGAGAATGCCCTCTGTCTGAAGGGCTCAGCCGTCCAACTCTGATTTAAAGATGGAGAAGCCATGAAATTTACTATCCACAGTTTGTACCTGGACAGCAGACTGAGCAGGTGCACAGGTCACCTGACTACTGTCTTTACCCACAATGCTGAGATGTATTGTATTTCTATTTAAATTAAAGTAACGATTTCTAAATTTGCATCTATGCATATAAATTAGCACATCCTAATTTTATCCAAATCTGTGTCCTCTTTCGCTCTCTTATGTTTATGTGTTTCTTCTTTTTTGGTGATGTGCCTGATGCTGAAGCATCCGTATGACCAGATCACTGCAAGCACTTGGGCGCAAGTAGCCTGTTCTATCAGAGCATGTCCATCCACAATTTAAATCTCACTGAGTTCATCTGATTACTTCCTTTAGATTATGCTTAAGATGAAAACTTAAGGCTGACATTCTTTTCAATATTTTAAACTTAGCTCTAGAAAGAAGAGGAATGGGGGAAGAGTCTGCATGCATTTGTTACAAATCTGTTAATCACTTTTGTATCCCACAATAGTAGCAAGGCCCAGTAAACAGGTAATGTGCATTGGGATCGCAGAAATGCAGCATAGAGCAGACAATTTCCGTCTGGAAGCAACCAAGGAAGATAATTTATTAAGTTATTTAGGCATTTCACAAAATTTCCATATAGCTTGATGGTAAAAAAAACAGCCATCAAAGTGAGATTTCAAGGACTTTAACAACCCCCATTTGAAGAAACTATTTGAAGGGGCTCTTTTCTCCAGATCTCAACACATGTGGAAATTACTTGGAGACTTTAAAAAAAGTACATAAATATGGCCTCCCTCCACCCCCTGCACTCAATACCAATGTCCTGGCAAGACCTCTGTGACAGACTCCCTCACGGAAGATGGGAGCTGGATTTTCTGGGTGTTCAAAAGTTTCAACTCTCCTTGTTAGAAACTGTTTGTGGTATCATTTCTTTATTATACTGCAACCAGTGTTTTACTTGTGTGAAGGATGGCCTGTGTCCACTTATTCCTCACACCAAGTGGTTTGAAATATGAGGAGGCACTTCTGAAACAAACATAGACTTTTTATTTAATTGCACTCAGTGAGGTTATGCATGAGAGGCACAATTCTTAGCTTCAGGCAAACACACTTTACAGAAAACTATAAAACCTTATTCAGTACTCTTATTTAAAACTTGTCTCAGGAAGGACGATTTCCACACTAGCTATAAATATTACTACACCAGCAATGCTCTCTGAGGCCCTTCTAGTATTCTTATTTTCTCTCGGGGAATTAAACCAGGTTGCCTTGCATAGCCAACCCCAATCCCTATCTCTCCCAGGTCCCTAACTAGGCACTTTTCAAACCCCAATTGATTCCTGTCTGACAGTTTAACTGTAAAGTTCCAATTTTTATACTCACCAGCCCCTTCTGATTGGCTGCATTCTAACCAGCTCTGATTGGTTGCTGGGTCACTAGGAGGCTGACCCAGGGTGTGTCCATCACAACCTTTTTTTCATCAGAACTTCAGTGTTGTTAAGTAAGAGTCTTGTATAATATATGTGTGCTATTAGTACTATTATTCAATTTAAAATGGATATTGGCTTCTCCCTGCACACACTTGCACCCAAAGCACAAGCCTCCATTGTGTTCATCGTGGAACATGATAACAAAAGGCTGGTAGCTTTTGCTCTTATGCTCTCTTCCTGTATGGAGTGGATTTAAAGGAGTGCACTCAGAGGTACAGAAATACCTGAATGCATGCCCACAACAGGAAAAGGTGGTGAAAGGCAGAGGAGTAGTTAATGAGGGAAGGGGCTAAAATACACAGCATGGACCACCCCTGGTGTGCATGGGAAACAGTGGAATACCTGTGAAAAGTGTAAGACATACGCTTCACATGCCTATTTCACACACTGACAAATCAGATAGGAATGAACCAATATGAATGAACCAATGGACCCATTCTGGAAACAGCCTTCATTTTAAAAAGTCACATTTTAGTCTGCAATTGTGATTCAAAATGGCAGCTGGCATCCAAATGTTGATGAAGAGTGCTTTCCCCCACCTCAGGAACCCTCACGCCAAGCTTTCTGATGATATCTCAAGAGGCTTCCAAACACACAGAGAACAAACCAAGCGACAGACAAACCCCTCCCCTCACTAAATGGCAGATAACAAGCACATGATCCAGAAGTCAAGGTTCCATGACCAAAGCAAGAAATGCATAAGTGAATGGAAGCCTTAAAGATGTTCCAACAGTTGACATACCCCTCCTGCTAAGCTTTTAAAGGTGAGGCAGGGAGAGCTCACTTGTGGGACTCTCTCACCCTGTAAATCTGCTGCACACACTCATGTCTGCTACATCTGGGCAGTTGTGTTTGATCTCACACCCATCAAGGCAGTGCCTGACTTTCAGTGACAACACTGTCCTGCCCTTCTGCCTCCAGCTCCTCCTCCACCACCATGAGCCCCTCTCTCTGGCTTGTTGAAGTCTTCCCCGCTCCCTGATGAGGCTCTGTACTCCACTGGAGGGGTAGAAGAGAAAGCCAGGAAATCTGCCTCTCTCTCTCTCTCTCTCTCTCTCTCTCTCCCTCTCTCTCCCTCTCTCTCTCTTTCTCTCCCTGTCATACAGAGTCACAAGCAGAGGACATCTTTCCTACACCCTTGGGTGCCAGCCTTTCAGCCCTCCATCTGCTCCTTTGTCTTCCTCCTCTTGGTCCATCTGAAGCTGCCAAACCTTGCCAGGTCCTGATGGAGCCAAGGCGTCCATCACAAGACCTCCTGACATGTGATATATATGAACTTAGTATACTATTCTCCTGATAACTAACTACTTTGGAGTACATTTGACCCCCAATGGCAACAACCTTTGGTTGAGTGATGTGCTCCAGGGCCTCTGGGACTGGTGGGTGGCAGGGTGTAGTCCTTCTCTGACGGAGAGGATATTCAGCTGTAGGTATCTTGGCGGCAAGACCCCAGTTGGGGTCTCGGGTGGCAGTTTTAGACCTTGGTTGGTAGTCTATGCAGTTGGTTTAAGAACAGCTTAGTTCAAGAAGGACACTGACAAACTGGAACGTGTCCAGAGGAGGGCAACCAAAATGGTCAAAGGCCTGGAAACGATGCCTTATGAGGAACGGCTAAGGGAGCTGGGCATGTTTAGCCTGGAGAAGAGGAGGTTAAGGGGTGATATGATAGCCATGTTCAAATACAGTGGTGCCTCGCAAGACGAAAAGAATCCGTTCTGTGAGTCTCTTCGTCTAGCGTTTTTTTCGTCTTGCGAAGCAAGCCCATTGACGGATTAGCGGATTAGCGCTATTAGCGCTATTAGCGGCTTTTAGCGGCTTTTAGCGGCTTATCGGCTTAGCAGATAAGCGGATAAGCGGCTTAGCGGCTTAGAAAAGGGGGGGGAGGAAAAAAAACCCGCAGGAACTCGCAAGACATTTTCGTCTTGTGAAGCAAGCCCATAGGAGATTCGTTTTGCGAAGCACCTCCAAAACGGAAAACCCTTTCGTCTAGCGAGTTTTCCGTCTTGCGAGGCATTCATCTTGCGGGGCAGCACTGTATATAAAAGGATGTCACATAGAGGAGGGAGAAAGGTTGTTTTCTGCTGCTCCAGAGAAGAGGACACGGAGCAATGGATCCAAACTACAAGAAAGAAGATTCCACCTAAACATTAGGAAGAACTTCCTGACAGTAAGAGCTGTTCGACAGTGGAATTTGCTGCCAAGGAGTGTGGTGGAGTCTCCTTCTTTGGAGGTCTTCAAGCAGAGGCTTGACAACCATATGTCAGGAGTGCTCTGATGGTGTTTCCTGCTTGGCAGGGGGTTGGACTCGATGGCCCTTGTGGTCTCTTCCAACTCTATGATTCTATGATTCTATGAACAACGTGGATTAAGAACGCTGCAAACCTGGAAGTAGGTGTTTTGGTTTGCGAACTTTGCCTTAGAAGCAGAACATGTTTAGCTTCCTGTTGAGTGTGTTCCGTTTGTAAATTGAGTCCCCCGCTGCTATGGGAAAGCACACCTTGGTTTAAGAACGCTTTGGTTTAAGAACGGACTTCCAGAACAGATTAAGTTCGTAAACCAAGGTACCACTGTAGTCTATCTGTGAGTCAGGGGCAGCATATTGATGCACCCCCATGCGGCAGCGTTTGCAGGGCCCGTTAAAGGGTTGATTGTGGGAGTCACTGGCCCTATAGCGGCGGCATATAGGTCAGACTCCCGGCTTTGGTGAACTGGGAGGGCACGCTGTGTAAGTTCATGCTTTACAGTCCCCTCCCAGTTCACCTGACTGCCCTGCGCATCCTCAGCCCCTGTTGAGTATGAGAGGGATACCTTCCAAGGCCTAAGCCAAGGTTCCTACACCTGAATTTAATAAAGTTGTGGCCTAATTTTAAACCCATACATTATTTCCATATCTCATTTCTGGGTGGTGGGTGCCAGGGACAGGGTTTAGTGTGTGGGCTCGCAATTTCCAGTATGCTGAATGATATAATCCCAGATATGTTGTTGCCAAGGTGAATTAGTTGTGGAGCTCTTATCTCATGAGAAAATTGCATATTGCATACTATAAAAGTTCTGTGCCTCTGCCTTAGTTCTTTCCCACAGATTCTTTTCTTGCATATCCCTCCAGTTTCCACATGAAGGCACCACCACACCACATAATACTCTACTAGAAGCAAACAAGAACTAGCAAGGCAAAGCTCTCTTATATCGGGTTTTTTCCCAGCACAGTCATTGTCTGCGTTCAACCAATCAGCTGAGAAAGCTGCTAATCCCCATGTAATATCTCAAACTGAAGAGCCTGTGTGATCGTTTTTTATAAAAGTCTATCCATGAGTTCCAAACATTATGCTGGAAACAGCCCTCACAGTTTCCCACAGAGGGGGAAAGCCAGAGGATTCTTAAAGGAAGCGCACACCACCTCGCTGTGAGTATGCAAGCCCCCAGTTCAGTGCCAGTGCTGAGAGGTGCTAGAAGACAAGCTTGTCTTCTACTGCTCTGGAGGGTAGGGCTCAAACCAATGGCTTCGAGTTACAAGAAAGGAGATTCTGACTAAACATCAAGAAGAACCTTCTGACAGTAAGAGCTGTTCAACAGTGGAATGATCTCCCTCAGGAGGTTGTGGACTCTCCTTCCTTTGAGGTTTTTAAGCAGAAGTTGGATGGCCATTTGACATGGATGCTTTAGCTGATACTCCTGCAATTCAGGGGGTTGGACTAAATGACCCTTGGGGTACCTTTCAACTCTACGATTGTGTGATTCTAAGACTACTATTCCCCTCACAGAGATACAGTTTCCAGAGTGGTTTATTGGTCAAACCTTCTTCCCAGGGAACTCTGGAACTGGAGCTCTTTGTGGGGAATAAGGTCCTTTTCAACTGAAGAGGTGTACCAAAAAGGTTATATGGTTCATATGGCTTTAAATGCCTTTGGCACAAGTTTATCATTTTCTCCTTTGTATTCTCACAGTCTTTTAACCTCTTCATACATTACCTCCTGACATCTTATCTAATTCTGCCATATCATCTTTTCACTCAAGAAGACCTGTGTAAACATTTTTAAAAACATTGTTCTGATCTGTTCCAAATCACAACAGATACTTTTAAGACCAGGGCCAGCCTAAGCACAAAGCTATCACTTTAGCTGCTATACTTCTGAGAGGAGGTTGTTTTTTTCCTCCAACCTCCATTTCTATCTGCTAATAAAAATTACAGAAGGTGGAGCAGGTACAAAAAGATCTAAGCTGGCATATGTACAAATTGTTTGTGACAATTATACAAAAAGTATACAGAATACAGAAATAAATCCAAATGCAGAAGAACTAGTTTTTTGCCTAGCTTTAAGTCCATAGACTGCAATGGGGCTGTGAAGGTATTGTTTATATAGTGCCCTAGCCCCCTTGTACCTAGTGTTGCTTGGGAATTCTAAGAAACCAAAATATTGCTGCAGTTTTGAAATCACTGGTTAAGGTCAGTGCAGTTTTTAAATGTTCAGTCTGTGATCTTGATTCAAAATGGCATCCAAACTGAACTCAGGAACCATCATGCAAAGTTTGGTTATTATATCTCGAGTGCTGTCCAAATGCATAACAAGAAAATGAACAACTTTGTACACACACAAGATTATTTTAGACTGCAATCCTAACTATATTTATCCTGGGAGTAAGCCCCATTGAATTCAATAGGACTTACTTCTGAGTAGGCATGGTTAGGATTGTGCTGTAAGCATTTGTGCCAGGGGTGGGGAAGATGTGGCTCTCCAGATGTTGCTGGACTTAAACTCCCATCAGTCCCAGTCAGCTGGCCAAAGGTCAGCAATGATGGGAGCTGTAGTTCAACAACATCCAGAAGCCCAAAGGTTCCTCATTTCTGGTTTACACAGTGCTAAACTTACAAAAGCCAAAAAACCCTGAATCACAGCATCTTGTTGCTACATTCAGTCAGAGCTTTAGGAAAAGAGTGAGTCATGGGAACACACAAAGAACCTTGCAAATGAATCAGCCAGTGGAGTTCCTGTAGAAATTCATTCCTTGGTGCTGGGGCAAAGAACTGGCTGTGATTCCTTTTGAGCCATTGCTGCTCCTCTGTAATGTTAAGGGAACAGTGAGTTTCTTCTGATTGCTGTAGACCACCCTGGGATCCTACAGCATGAAGTGTGATTTAGAGATACTATCAACAACAACCTTTGGGGGCCTGGGGGTACATTTGGAATCTAATAAACTGTCATAAGCACCACAAAATATCTATTCCACAGGGACGGGGGGGGGGGACACACCTGGTAATGCTCAGAACCCCCGTCGCCCAAAACAGGCAACCTCCCAGCCAGCCAACAACAAAACACAGCCCCAAACCCTTCAGTTTAAATAAATAAACAAAACTTATGTGGAATAAGAGTCATTGGTGAGCATCAATAAGGAGTGCTTTGATGCGCAAGGATGCCACATTAGGGATCCCAGTACTGTTATGTCAAAATTGGGATAAGATCCAGATGAATTATAGCTCAGTTGGTTAGAGCATGGTGCTGATAACACCAAGGTTGCAGGTTCAATCCCCAAACAGGATGGCTGCATATTCCTGAATTGCAGGGGTTGGACTAGACAATCCTCAGGGTCCCTTCCAACTCTACAGTTCTATGATTCTATGAATAGAATAAGGCTCCAGCCTGCAAAGAATCCACATAATTTCACCATAGGAAGGGCTGCATTTGCCACCAGCCATGTTCTATCATGTAGTTAGCATAATGTTTGATTCTTCTACCTGCACCTTGCGATTGTCCTGTTGCTCAGCTCATCAAAGGTCTCGCATCAGAAGCATGTGATTATAGTTGAGAAAGTATATCAAACCAATTGTCCCTGATGCGCAAAATCTGAACCTTTAAGCAGCCATTTTTCAATGCAGTCAACATGTCGCTTGATGCCACATGAGAGCAACAAGTGTTTCTCAAAAAGATGCTGCAAACTGACCCAAAGCTATGGTGCCTTTTGCCAAAATACCTAGTGAGAATTTTTATAGCCAGCATTTCAATCTGACCTGCCCATAGTGCAAAGAAAATGCAGAAGCAGCCTGCCTCACGGGTACAGAGGTGTGGGCTGACAGATGGAAGAGCCATGGATTCTAGACTGTTGAGCTGCAGAGGAATAGAAAAAGGACAGGCATCGTATCTCCTGAGAGCACAACCACCATCTAGAGAGCTTAGGCAAAGTCGCTTTTTTAGAAGCACTTCAGCAGTAAGTTTTGTGCCCCCAAAGTAAGTTTTGGGCTATTTTAAGTTATCGGTTTTTGCCACCCAGTTTACAATACAGACTGTTTGCCCAACTCATGCCACTGTAGCATACTCAATCACCATTACCAGCTAAAAGCACAGCTGAGTCATTCTTTTTCTCAATTCAGATTGAAGCTGATTTGGGGGGGTGTGCATCAAATGAAATGACAGGACATATACAAGATAGATATGGATTGTGGCCAATATCCATTCCCAAACCAGCGCTGCGGGCACAATGGATGCAGAGTTAGTGGGAGTGATTACACAGCCCTGGTCTTTTGATGCTACTGACACTGATATGTGAGCTCCAAGAAGTAAAAAGATCGGTTAATGATCCAGGAAACAGAACCCTTAAAACAGTTTTGAGATCTGCACACAAAGAGCAGCAAAAGAGAGAAAGTTGGTGGGGAAAAGCAAATAAAATCAAAACAAACAACTGAAACAATGTAAAGTCTTTCAAAAACTAAATCATTTTAAAATTCTGCTACCAGGTGAAACCAGCAACTGAGTCTGCTAAGCCCAGAGGGGTCTCTAGGAGTGGGGGCATGGCAACAGCTGGCTGTTCATCTGTTGCCTGTTTTTGTTTTTAAAAATGATTTGTAATCAGACCGACTGAAATAAATGAAACTTCAATTAGTTATTATTTCAATTGGCATTATCTAACCATGAGCAAATCTGGATCCAACCCATTTTTTATTGTTTGGTATTTGAGTTTCTCTTACATCTTGGGAATCAGGGAGCAGCAGAACAGCAGTAGCAGGTTATTATTATTATTATTATTATTATTATTATTATTATTTCATTTCATTTCTATACCACTTTATATTTTTAAAGGGGGGATCTCAAAGCAGATTACAACACATTAAAACATTAACTCAAACAATCCGGAACGAAACATTACTTAAGAAATGTGGTGGTGGTGTTGCTTATTTGACAGTGAAAAACCAAGGCTGCATCAGTAGCTAGGAATTTTGATGGCGCCTCCATTTTGAGAAGCAGTCTACTTCTGATTACCAGATGATCAGTGCTGGATTTACGTATAAGCTAAACACACTATAGCTTAGAGTCCCACTCTCTTGGGGGGCCCAAAAAAATTAAAGGAAAAAAGTGTTTGCATTATTAAGTTTGTTATGAATAAAAGAATCATTTTAAGTTAGAGCTTAATAATTATTTCACTATTAATATACTTCTTAATTGTATTTCACTATTAATATATTTCTTAACTGTATTTCAGTTCAACAATTACTTTGATAAAATACATATTTTGTTATGTGCAAATGGCTTTAGATACCTATTAGGTCCATAAATTACCATATAGCACATATTCAACACAAAAAACAGCGACAATTTGCTGTTGACAAAGGACAGCTGGACATATAAAGGGCCCCATTACCTTCAGTAGCTTAGGGCCTCATCAAACCTAAATCTGGCCCTGCAGATGATGGGTACAAAATGATGGGCTTTTTGTCCTGCTAAGTCCTTCCTGTGCGCATCCCATAGGAACCAAGGAAGTTGCCTTATCCAGAATCAGACCAATGGTCCATCTAGTTCAGCGGTGTCTACACTGACTGGCAGAGGCTTTCCAGAGTTTCAGACAGGAAACTCTCCCAGCCCCACCTAGAGATGCTGGGGACAACATTTGGGACCTTATGCGTGCATGGTTAGGTTTTTGAGTCACCCCTGTGCTGGAAAGGAATTCCTCTGCATCAGAAAGGAAGTTGAGGGTTGAAGGCAAACAGCAATCCTTGGTCAACTGGTAGCTGAGATCAGTGGCAGGAAGCAGCAGATTAGTCATCACTCAAGGGCAGGTTGATTTGTTCCATTTCTTTTTCAGTGTGATTAAGGAAGAGCACTCTCCAGTCTGTGCAATGCATAGTGTTTGTGTGGATTTGTCAGAGGAGAGAGGCAGAGTATTTTCTACATACACATAGCCTAGGGTTGCCATATTTCCAAAAGTGGAAATCCAAACAAAGGTGTTGAGCTTCTTCTGTATCAGAAGAAGAAATTTGTAGTTTGTCTGCTTTTAAGCAACTTTTCAATACAACTAATCAATGTTACAGTATCTGTATTTTAAACGCCCCCCCTTTTAGTATCAAAAAAAAGTTTTCCTGTGCGTTTTTGTGTGCACTGTTTGCGTGTGAATGTTTGTGTACCCTTACAGTGAATATTTTCTCTCTTTTTCTCTCCTTCTGCAGCTCATAAGTAAGGGATAGCTCAGTCAGTAGAGCATGAGACTCTTAATCTCAGAGTTGTGTGTTTGAACCCCATGTTGGACAAAAGATTCCTGCATTGCAGAGGGCTGGACTAGATAATCCTTGTGGTTCCTTCCTACTCTATGATTCCATGATCAGGGCTAGAAAATACCCAACTAAAAACAAACACTGAGTAATTTATAACTTAGATGTTGGGGCTTTAAGAGAGAAAAGATAGATATTCTAAGACTTGGGATGAAATCATAAGTACACGCACACAAATTAACTTCTACTCAGACAGCAGGCACATTGCTGTAAGCTTTCTGACTGCTTCAGTGCTGCAGATTTCATTTCATTTTTATGTGACCATTAAAGAACAATACAAAACAATATTAAGATTAACAAAAAAACAAACTAAGCCCTGTTGAATTCACCCACACACTCTCCCCATCCCTGTAACTCATAATCTTCCTGTGCTGTTGTGGAGTATATAAATGCAGCTCCTGCCTCTGAATTTAATAGCAGCATGGTGGGGACTTTTTTTTTGTTTTGCTTTTGGCCTTCATCTCTGCCAGGCAGCTGTAATCTAATCGCATTGCTTTAGCAGCCATCACTTTTCCTCCCACACTGTCACATATGCCATCACATTGCATCACAGATTCCGAAAGTATGCCCAATAGGTGTAATATGCTAGGATCTTTCTCTGTGACACATCCACAGATTTCCAATGCTTGCCTTTGTTCTACGCATTCAGAGAGACCAAAATAACAAAAGCAGACAGGCGGCAGGATCCACAGGGGCAGCAGATCCCGGTGTCGATATTTACTCCCCGCCCCCCTTGTTCTTGATGTAGATCTTCACTCACCCCTTATTCCATGGCAGGGAGGGGGGTGCCATTTTGTGGTTCTCCTCAGGTGCCAAAATGTCTTGGGCCAGCCCCAGCTGTGTGGAATGAATTCATACAGCTCCTCTTCCTCTGATGTTTACTGCCTGCTAACTAGCAAGTCAGACTGTGTGCCTCTCAGAGGTTGCCAGCCTTTGAGGTCCTGTGGTCACATTTGCAAATCTGGGGAACTGTTGCGGATGCCCCTACACAACCCACAACCAAGCATACAGCACAACCTATCGTACTGGCTACAGCAGAATGCTTCTTCCAAGCCAAAATTCAATCGGAGAAGGGAGACCTCTGTGGGCACATGTGTACCTGCTGGCACCATGTTGGTGATCCCTGGCCTGTTAGGGTGTGGTTTGCTCTGGAGCAGTATCTTACATATTGCTGCTGCCATGTGCTCGCAGTTGTCATGACTCACTCTGGTACTGCATGTTTTTGTCATCTCTATTGGCAGCTAAAATTGGCACAAACATGTCTCCATTGCTTTCAACATCTCTGTCTTGCCTAGTCCCTGAAGAATCACAAAAAAAAATCCTTTAAATTCTGGCTTGATTTTTTAATATATATTTTTAGTATTGTCTCTCTGTAACTTAAGTATGTTAGCATATTTATACATACAATTACTAAATCAAAGCAGATAAAAAGACATCCCCTTAACCCGGAGACTTTGAGAAGCACAAGAATAGCTCAAGAATATATTGCTGCCTCCATAAAATCAGCACAGTACAACAAACTGATCAGCTGATGTTTGTGCCCCACCCAAAAACTGATTTGTGTCCTGGTATAGACAACCAAGATGTTTGTTAAAAGATAGGAAGGGCAGTTGGATGGGATAAGAGAAAGTCTCAGAGAAAAGCAAAATATAAGCATGCTAGTTTTCCTAGTCTAGAGAAGGAGACATCTCAGCATGATGAACCTGTTGACCAGTATATTGTGATAATGAATCTCCTAGATAGTCTTTATCCCAGGTCAGTGACCATGAGCTTATATATAGTTCTTCCTTTTCTCCCTGAAATTCATAATCCCTCCCAAATGAGTCGACCAGGATAAATCCATGATCAAAACAGAACTAGTCAATGTGGAGACCCAAGGCTTGCAGTGCTCCTGCATCCACAGTGAGATGATCCAAGGAGGGAGGGAAACCCAACTTTATCTATTCTGTGTTGCAGCCCTTTTGACCCAGACTAGTTAATGTATATGGTACAGAGTAGGACCAGATTGCCATAGAAAATGAACTCACTAGCTAAGGCATCTCCTGAAGGCTGCTGTAGTGAGGACAAGGTAGAAACTGGGTGTTCCTGCTGCTACGAGAGCCAGCTTTTCACTGTGTGAATTTTAATAGGATTCATTTGTCAGCTGAGAAATGCAAGTGAATCCAAAGTCCCACATCCCGTCTTAAAAAAAAAAAATAGCCACAAGCATCACTGTCAACCTTTAGCTGAACAGCTTCCAGAGTAGTCTGAGAGATGACAGATTCCCATCAGTCCCAGGCAGCAATGAATTATAAATACACCACCAGCTCTCTGCCACCTGACAGGGCAGTCCTTGAGTCCTACGACTTGTGAGGGAAGGAGCTGTCAACTCTAAATTTGTGCAGAGGCACATGTTATATAAAATGCATTAATCTTTGACCCCTTAATCGATCGCCACAAGTGTAGCGTGGCCAAGCCAAATCAACCTGAAGGAACTACATCAATGTGTGCTCAAAATGCTTATAGTGCAATCCAACCCCTTTATAATTAACTGGAGTTTTGCCATGGAATGCCATGAAGAGTGGGCTGTGAGTTAACCAACATTAGACTAGCTGCAGGAATCCCTCTCAAACAGGCTTACAGCTGAGACATCGGCAAAGGGGGCAGCCAGATAGCATAAATGGATAGGGAGGAAGTTGTGTTTCTTTCCCAGTGTTTGTGTGTGTGTGTGTGTGTGTGTGTGTGTGTGTGTGTGTGTTTCAAAGCAGCACGTGTTAGAAGATTCTTTTAAATATTTAAAATTCAAGTGACTTTTCAATATCACAGGTAAATTACCATATCTATAACCAAGTGTAATACCCAACACTAAATTAAACACAGATTTAAAAATGATGGTGGGGGACAACTTGGGGGGGGGAAGGGTTGAAGACCTTTAAAAACATAATTTGCTACAGGTGTGAAGGAAACACTGCTTCCCCATCTCCATACTCCCTCTTACCTACAGTACAATTTTTTAAAAATTGTTTTAGAATGTTATTTTGTAAACCGCCTTAAGAATTTTGGCTGAAAGGAAGTTATACATAATGCAAAATAAGTGTATATAAATATGTGGTAAATACATACAGCCATGACCACATTCACACCATATTTTTAAAGAGCTATGATACCACTTGAAACAGTTATTGCTTCCCCCAAAGAATTCTGGGAGCTGTAATTCGTTAAGGGTGCTGAGAGTTGTTAAGAGGCCCCTATTCCCCTCACAGTGCTGTGATAATGTGTTTCCCAAAGTTCCTGTGAAGAGGGATTGGTTGTTAAACCACTTTGGGAACTGTAGTTCTGGGAGGTGAATAGGGGTCTCAGCACCCTTAAGAAACTACAGTTCCCATAATTCTTTGGAGGAAGCCATTACTTTTTAAAATAGCATCATAGCGCTTTATATCTGTGATGTGAATGTGGTCACAGAATGAAAAGGGGGTTGGCCAGGATATGAACAGGATAAGCTCCAAAGTTAGAAATTGAATGTTAATCCTATAATGAGGCATGCGGGCATAACCATACTCCCTCCCTTGCTTGCATTGCTGCTGACAGCAGTATGCTCAATGAATGGGCTGAGGGTGCAGGATGCTGCTCGTTGTTAAAGCTAAAGAGGTCTCATTCTGGTCAGTGCCAGGATAGTATACTCATATAGGCCACTCTTGAAGGAAGAGTAGGATATAAATGTATGAAGACAGAGTCTGACAAGATGAGAGCTCCCCCATTAATTCAAAAGACAGATCTTCAATTAAATTACCCTCATAATGAGAGAAGCTTCCAAACTGCTTATTTGCGGGCTTTTGTAGCAATATGTATCTCTCAAGGCACAAAATGCTGAACCCTTCTCAGATCTGACAGTCCCGTATCTTCAGGATATGAGAGTCCTAGGTCTGCTAGTACCATGCTGAGAACTTAGTTCATGTTTTATTTGGGGATTTTGCAGCCCTACTGTTCTTTCTGGTGCAGCAAACTAGATTTGTCAGCATGGTCCGGTCTTTCTTTTTTTCCATAAATAGCCTCCTCAAGTAGAGAACGTTGGAATATTAGGCAATGGTAACAATCCACCCATAACCAAGGCCCTTTCTTATCACTGGTTGGATAACGCTTTTGGTAGGGTTGCCAGATGCCTGAGACAGGCCAGAACAGCACAGGAAATTGCTACCTTATACAGTGTCCAGGCCAACTATAATGTTCCAGAATAAACTAGTACACATATTTTGAAACCATTTTGGAGCTGTCAGTCACAGGCCCTCCTGGCCTTCATCTGTGACTGCTCTGATTCGCTTCCCTGACTGCAAGGCTGAAGTTAGTTTCTCTTACTTTCCAGTGGTGCCGAAGCCTAAAATAAAGTACAGATATTTGCACACCTCTGATCCCCTCAAAAATATTTGAATCATGTCCCAATTATGTCTCCTTCAAGATATCCTAGCATTGTGTCCAGACCAAACCATTTTTGCATAAGGAATTTTCACAGTGTCCCAATTCCAATTATATTCCTTCACTTACCGTATTTTTTGCACCATAACACTCACTTTTTTCCTCCTAGAAAGTAAGAGGAAATGTCTGTGCGTGTTATGGAGGGAATGCCTACGGGTGGCATGCCTACGGATTTTCCTCCTCTAAAAACTACGTGCGTGTTATGGTCGGGTGCGTGTTATAGAGCGAAAAATACGGTACTTATTATAAAACATTCTGCACCAGTCCCAATGAGGTTTGCAACCTTGAAATAAAGATATTAATAAGAACATAATCTTTCTAACAGAAAGTTGAATAGTAATCCACAGGTGACTGTCCACTAGTTTTTTCCACCAGCAGCCTAACTTTATACTGTGTTTGCTTCTGGCTGGGCCAACTGGCATTGGGCCCAGAAGGAACAAAACTAGCCAATTTTGCTAGGCTGCCCCAAAACATTTTGCTTTCCCAAATCTTTTGATGTGTGCCTCAGGATCTTTTGCAGAGACAGAGAAGGGATGCTAAGGTACAACTCTCTGGTTCCTTGCAATGCTGCAATGAATCCTGAGCCACACCTCACCATTTTGGCATTTCTAAATACATTCCTGCCCCCAAAGTAAATGTGCAGGATGGTCCTCCATTTCAGCTCTCTATTTTGTATCCCTAATCCCTTCCACAATACTGCAGCAGGTTGTGGATAATGCCATTATAATGTTTACTCAATAGGTGGCGCTGGACTTTGTTGTATTTGGGTGGAGTCAGCCTTTTCTGTTCTTGCTTAAGAGATTTTGCAGTAGCACTGCACAGCCACAGAGCTTCCCTCCCAACACCAGTGTTGCTACACCTTACTTAGATGGTGCTGGGGTGAGGTAAGGCAGCAGCAAGGTCAGAGATGTTTCAATGCGCTGGCACAAGCACTGCATTCTCTCCACCAGTGGATGCACACAGCCACTGCTCTGCCCCACCTTAGTACTGCCCAGGTAAACCATAACAATGCCAGTGTTTGGGAAGATAGCTCCGAAGCAGAGGTTGGTATGGCCATCTGTCAGAGATGCTCTGGTTGTGATTCCTGCATTGCAGGGTGTTGAACTAAGTGATCCTCAGGGTTCATTCCAACTCTACAATTCTATGATTCGATGATTCTGCCCCACCATACTGACCACTAGTGGCCTTCTTTGGCACAGCTGATATTTGCATATCTCACAACTGTTAAGTTTTTCCAGCAAATGAAATGTTATTTAATCTAGATACGCATTAAAAACATGTGTGTGTGTGTGTGTGCAGCCGTAATATTAGAAATCCCCACTCGACCATGAATTTTTTACTGGGTTACTGCCTCTCAGCCTAACCCAGCTCACAGGAGTTTTGTGGAGATTGAATGAGGATCAGGAGAACTGTGTACTGTACTCCACTTTGAGCTCCCAGAGAAAAAAGGTGGGTGGGGTATTAATGCAACAAATGAAAATAAAGAAAGAAAGATGGGTTATGGATGGGTAGATAGACAGACAGAAGAAATTCTGATTGTCTTAAGGTCAGCAGCATGTGGTTGTATATAAAACTCCTAAATCTAGCTCACCTAATGAGATGTGGGAAATGACTACAAGGTGAGCCGATTTTAATATCTGTTTTTATTAGCAGCATACTTAGGAACTGTGCTAGTGGCCTCAATCCAGGTTCTAGCAGGCAGCTGTCTCCATCACAATAATGCATCACCCCAATTGACACCACTAAGTAGCCCTTGAGTGGCATTCCTGCAAACTACTTACATAGCTAATGCTGAACCAGCAGCTACATTAGGGGTGTGTGTGTGTGTTCAGACATGGCAGGCCTCACTACCACCTGTGAAATATTTCGCTCTACTATCTAAGGCTACCTTGATGCAGGTCAGTTTTACAATATGAAAGCTGGTCGTCTCAAAAATTAATTAGAGCTGTTTGAATGCAAAATTTCCTCAGACTATCTAGAAATTGTACTTGATCCAATTTTTTAAAGGAGCCGGGGAGAAAATATGCATCCTCTCATTATTACTTATTACATTGTGAAAGCCAAGGGCTAGCATCTAGCAAAAGAAAAAAAGCAACTAAAAACCCAAATGAAATATGGTACGCCTCTTAGCAGTTTGCATGTCGTCGATATAAGCCAGAGAATCCACCTATTATAGCAAATGTATCGCTTATCCATTATTTTCCATGCCCTTTATTTTGTTTTGTTTTTTGCTAATGAAATCAAACAACAAAGGAAGCTACTGCAAAAGTATAGTTCTTCTCACCTAACCTTCTAGCAAGTATCTTTCTGTGAGCTGTCGTAAAGTATTCATGAGTTTCCAAAAAAAGGAAGCAGACTGGGCTTCCTAAAATAGAGAATAACAGATTATGTTATAGAGATGATTTGCTGTTGCATCCAACACCACTGTACTCTCCATACAGAGACACAGAGAGATTATATCTTCCCAGACATGTTATATTTAGAAACCTTTAAAAAACATAGGATGTAGTATGTCTTCCCTATTCTGTATTTTGAAGGAATTGTATCCGTGGAGAAAAATGAGATGCACTTATCGCTCTTAGCTCAGGCTAGGATTCAGTTCCCAGCCTTTTATTTTAAAAGACAGCAGCAGTGGGGCCTGGCTATAAAAATTCAGAAATGGCAAGTCTCCTAAGGCTGAAAGTTCTATTTACGTTTGTCCTTCAGAGGATCCTCTTTATGGCAGAAATAATTAGTATACTCACCTCACATCTCCAAGCAGTGAAAAATTCTAAGGGCAAAGGTTTGGTTTCCTTTGGAAGGAAGTCACTGGAGGCTTATTAACATTGTATAATATTTGCAGATATACATGTTGAGCATAGGTGAATGCACACAATTTAAGCACTTCTGCAGACAGACACAGTCCACTGCTCCCACTTCAGATCTGTAAGCAGAGGCGTATTTCGGGCAGTGCAACCAGTTCCGCTGCACTAATCCTAGGGGGCGCTGCAGAGCGTCACAACTATGATGTAGTAGTGAATTGAGCAGAACAGAAAGCAAGAAGCCGGGGGGGGGTGCGAATTTGGGGCTCACACAGGGAGCCAGTGAAATTTGAAAGACCAAAGTCTTCCCCTTCTCTAGAGCCTCAGTTGCTTACAAAACCCAAAATCAATTTTCTCCTTCTCCCTCCCCGCCTCCTGAAACTTCAGTCTGCTCTTATTTTCCTTCGCAGACATCTATGGATGATGTCATCCTTAGCTAAAGTGGGGTGAAGTAGAATAAGCTTGCTCATATACCAAAAAGGCTCTCCACTTCCAGAGGAGTCTCCAACTGTTTCACACTCATTGTAGGCAATTTACCTGTACTGGCCCTAACAAAGATATTTCCCCAACTTCCAAAAGCCATGAAGACAGTCTTCCACACCAATGGGAAGAACATAAGAAGAGCCTGCTGGATCAGGCTCATCTGGTCCAGCATCCTGTTTTCACCATGGCCAACCAGACACCTACGGGGAACCCTCAAGCAAGGCGTAAGCACAAGAGCCCTCTCCCCTCCTCTGCCTCCCAGCAGCTGGTATTCAGAACTGGTATTCAGTACTTCTGACTCCATCAACCCGCTTCCTGTCCAAACTCCTGAATGCTACAACATACAGCGTAACCCAGAGAGGAATGTTCAGCAAAGAATTCAAGGCTCTGCATGGTGCCTATAAGTGAGTGCTAACCCACCTCCATCCATAACAGGGCTATAATGATGCCTGATAGAATATTAAGTGTGATCTAATATTGGATATGGAATTTTTGGCTCCTGGAACATCCTCAGGATAGTTTTAGTTAGCTGCAGCAGAGACATGGGACACTAGCAATTAGAAATGTAGGAGTCTCTGGCCTTGCCAGGCAGCAGCTGTGCCAGCCCTACATGTGTTCCAGGCATGTCTTGGGCACAATCTAGCCACAATTAAGCACTTTTAAGACCCAAGGATTCCAATGGGACAGTTACTCATGTGCAAAAGAAAATTTAAAAAAAAACTCCTATTACAAGCAATAGCAGTGGAAAGTGCTCAACCTTAGCTGGATTATGTTCCAACAATGCAGTCCATCTACTTCATTATACTAACCAGAGCATCTGAATTTTCCCACCCTCCATAAAAAATAAAGAAGAGAATGGTTTAGAAATGTGGTCAGACACATTTCTCTCTCTCTCTCTCGGCACATAGTTTATTTGCCATTTACTTTGTTTATATCATGGGGACTAAAAATCTCATTTTTAAAACTTGGCCTCTTCCCCATCTCCTAGCCTCACTACTCAAAAGAATCTTTCTAAAATATGGGAAAATCAATGATATTGAGAGACAAATGCAGCTGGAGCTACTCCGGTAGCAGCAGCTGAGCAGACTGCAGAAAAGGGCAGTGAAGTTTGGCCAACTCTTAGGAACATTCCACTTTCGATTATATTTTCTGCTTTTAACTTCCACATCTGCAAATACAGTTGTGGTGAAAAGAAATGGTAAAAATGAGAGTTCGGATCTGGGCACCATATGCACTGAAATGCATGTATAACCAAGGGAATACTATACTTAGTTGAGGTCAGTTGATCATGTGGGAGTGGTCCGGCCCTAAAAACCAAGGAGACTACAACTCTATGCACACTTACCTGGAGTAATTCCCATTGAACTCTACAGACCTTACATCTGGGTAGACAAGTACAGAATTGTGCTGTAACAGGTTAAACTTTGATTAATTGACTGAGACACGAGTCCAATGGAAGCTTCCCAATGTTGGGAACTCACACCACCGGGAAATATGTACAAAGACCACAGCCACATGGGCGGTGCCAATTGCAAGGGTCTTGCCAGCTCAGACAGCACTCTCCTTCCCAGCAAGGAAAAATGCAGTTGACCCTGTCCCCAACATAGTCACAGAACGCTAGCTATATACCATGTCAGACCTTTGGTCTACCTGGTTCAGTATTGTCAGGGCTGACTGGCAGAAACTCTCCAGGCTCTCAGGCTGGGTCTCTCCAGCCCTACCTAGAGACACCAGGGATTGAACCTGGGACCTTTTCCATGTAGAGCATGTCCTCTACCACTGAGCTATGGCCCTTCCCTGAAAGCAGCTCCCATGCAGGTGTGTGTATGGGCATGTTGAAGCTTCTGGTTTTTGTGTGGCTGTATTTGTGACCTCCTGCATACATATAAGAATCACTTCCATCTCTCCACCCACTTTTGACTGTGACTCCACCTACTGCTTCCATGTGGACCCTAGAACCCTGCCACACAAGGGAATGTGGCCCTTAGACTACAATATGTTTCCCACCCCTTCTGTAAACAACACCGTAGCCATTCTACGAACTGCACAGCGGTTTGTAAACATATCATCTTTCAGAACGTTCTAGTTCTGCTTCAGAGATGCCTCGAGCTCATTAAAGCCTTTTGGAATAAATGCTTTTGAACTCCCAGATCGTTCAAAGATTGTCCAGCCTGTCTGCCTGTCGTCAAACACAGAAGCTGTGGCAAAATAAAGGAACAGTTTAAAAGCCTCCCCATATTTGAGGCAATTCATCCGTGCAATAGTGGCCCCAGTGTCCATCCTCGTGGGGCAGGCCTGACCCTTGGGAGGCTATCGCTGACAATGAAAGGAGAAATCAAATCTTCTCTGTCTTTTTGGAGTAACTGGGACAGAGGAGGTGGGGGAGGGAGACTACACAGAGAGATGGTGGGAGCAGAAGTCACAGCAGCAGAGCGAAGGGGAGTCTATGAAGCATGACATCTAAAGATTACTGCAGATGTTTTCATCATTATGGGGGGGGGATTGTTGGTGCCTCTTTGCCCAGAGAAGCAGTGGGAGAGGAAATATCCTCTTCAGTTCTAATTACAGCTGGACATTGACCATGAAAGACGATGACAATACTAAGGGCATTTGTACGAGAAGGCTAGCAAGCTGTTGTTCCCCTTTTCCAAATTAACTCCTGGCGTCCTTGCGGCTCTTAGATTCCTGTCGGCAACGGCCACGCCGCACAGCAATATTTAGGGAAACATTCTCAAGGTCTTCATTCGCATTCGTTACCCGTTTCCATCCTTTAATCGCACACTTGTTTCCACTAATCAGTTAAAGGGTTGCATTTCCCCGCTCTTTCAGAATGTGTTGCATGGATGGAATGGGAATTCCAGTCCCATGAAGAGCCTGTTATGCAGAGTGAGGCGGTCAAATATCTACTGCTAGGTGGGCAGGCAGGGGTGTTGCTGGGTACTTAACAGGGCACAAGAGCCTGTGCATGACATTTGCATATGCTGATTTATATATACATACATATGCAGAATTAGGTCTCTGAGGAAATTAAAGATGGTGGGTGGGTGGATTTTCCAGGCCAGAGAATGTTTAATCGTGTTAAGCTTTTAAAAAGAGGGGGAGGGCAGATAAGTCAACACCTGATACAGAAATCTGAGGGCTCCATCTCCCCAAACCACCCCTGGAAAGAGGAGGCTATAATTTTGACTGCTTTAAATAAAAAAAAACCTGGCACCAGGAGCAAAAAGGGTTAGATTAATGACTAGTTTAGCACATATGTAGAACTTTTTGTACACACACACACACACACACACACACACCATGAGAGTAGTCTAAAGTGGTACAGTCTGTAATTCTGCCATCTCAGTCTACCAGCTAATTCTGAATAATCGGTATAGGCATTACATAGATTAATTCATGCTGAATAGAGTGATATGAGGAGGCAGGGGCATAGCTCAGGGGTGAAGCACACACCTTGCATGCAGAAGGTCGCAGGTTCAATCCATGGGGAAGTCTCCTTCCTGAAACCCTGGAGACCCATTGCCTGTCAGAGTAGCTAATACTGCACTAGATGGACCAAATGTCTACCTTGGTATAAGGCCGTTTCTTCTGTTCCTTATATGACACAACACTACAAAGCTGTGTTTTCTGTGCTAGGTTCACTCTCCTTTCAGACTCACCCCATCCAAGGGGAGGGTGAGCAGAGGCAGCCAAATCAAGGAACACATTGATATTTTTCTTACCCCCCCCCCCCCAAAAAAGGCTTTCAATCAACCTTTGCAAAATGAAAGATGGTCGTTCTGGATTCCCTCAAACCTACAAAAGCCTTGTATCTTGCCGGAGTAAAACCCAACATGACTGAAACCACCTCTGTACACAAGGCTTGCTGAGCTTGGCTTCCCTCTCCCACAGCGGAGGGCTGACCACCCTTCAGCATTCACAGAGGAGAGAGTCAGCTCTGATTGTTTCTGTTCCAAAAGCAGAGCTGCTGCCAGCCAGGGGCCATTGGATCCCCCTTATCGACCACCTCTAACCCCTAATTACCACAGGCCTGATAAGACAGGCAGACTGTGGATAGCCCTGACAGTCCCCAGGCCTAGACATCAGGGAGACTGGAAACCAAATTGGGCCAAGCAAAGAAGCCCTTTGCAACGTCACCTTAGAATGGATGTTTTCAAAATGACTGACCTTCAAGGAACTCTTTCCTTGTCAACTTGCTGAGGGACATCTGAACGCGGCAGCAGAGGATTTGTGGGAAATTTCTTTCTCAGTTCATGGAGAGCTCTGAGTTGGTAATCCGAAGGACCCCAAAGACGACTCTTTCAAAATTCTAAGGCAAGATCCATAGCAGTGGCTGGCCCAACTGCTTTTTGTCTCCGATGAGGATGTTTTCACCGAAGAACACCTAGAACACAAGTTGCGAATGTGTTTAGAGCAATAGGGAAGAGAACATAGGTGCCAACTCCCTGGGGCCCTGGGTGCCTGAGCACCCACAAAAATCCCCATGAGGGGGCTGAGCACCCACAAATGAGCACACTGCATGGCACCCATGGCCCCAGGGCCAAGTTGTCATTCCTGGAAGGAAAATTGGAAGAGAGAGCTTAAACACATTTATTTGGAAAGAAGCCCCACAGAGTCAACTGGACTTCCCCTATGCATATTTACTTAGGAGTAACCACCATGATAGGATCCCCTTGCCCTCTTCCTCTCCTTCCTCCTGTATTTTCTCTAAGCACATGTTCTTTTCAGCAAGCATTCATGGGTCTTTTGCCATCAAAACAGAAACTCCAAACTGTTGGGAGCTTGTAATGAAGACCTTTCTCAATCTATTCCCAACCCCATTTCTCTTTTAAACTGTTTGTTTCTGTGAGAGCTTCTGTGCCTTTTACAGCAGGCAGAAATTCAGCAGGTGGAGATGCCCAGCACTGCATCTCCATCCTAGGCAATGCTTTTGCTGTTAAATTTCTGCCTGTCATGAAACTGTTAGAAACATGTTAGCCTCTGTCAAGCTGGGGGAAGGGGTGGCTTGAGAAAACTTAAGAAGTACTTCTCCTGGAATTCCCTTCTGCACAGAGTTACTAAGATGTGAATCCCATGGAGGCTCCAGATTCAAGTGCAGCCTGCTCTTATGCAAGTGGTGTCAGAAGTAAATCATACTGAGTTCCATGAGACTTTCTCCAAACCAAGGGTGCATAGAAGCCTTTCACTCACAGCTAGGCATGTTATGAATAGGGCCAACTGAATTTAGGAAGATGCTTGCTTAGGATGGATGGACAGGCATAGGAAGCTACCTGTCTATCTAGCTGACTAGCAGCTGCTCAGCAGACTTCCTGACAAGGGATCTCTTCCAGACCCACCTAGGGATGACATGGTTTGGATTGGACCTTATTTTTTTCTGCTCTGAAGCTGCTCCTGTGCCTTCTTTAATTTGACACACAGAAAGTAATCGGGAGACTTTGGGGTTCTATTAAAGACTGCTGCAAGATTTTGGACAGGAATGCGAGAATGAGCAAGGACCCCTCCCCCAAACACACACTTTGTAGGTCATATGTTTCTCTTCATGCATCCCTTCTGGAAAACTATGCTCGCCCTTGGGCTGCGTGGAGGGGCTGGAAAACAGATACTGTACTTCATTAATGCAAACGTGGGCACAATTTTAATTTTTTCTCCAACAAGATTCAGGCTCCTATCTTTAAGACACAGAAGTGCAAATCCCAAATTTATCTCATGAGGAAATTCAGGAGGGAAGGCCTAATAACGCAAAATATTGCTTAGAGGCATTATAATTGATTAAATGTGATGGCGGTGGTGGTGGAAAGGGAGAGGGAGAGGTATGGACCAAGAGAACTCAGCCAAAATTAGGCACTTTAAGGTCCTGTTGATTTCAGTAGCATTTCTGCTCCGAAGTAAGTCTCGCTGAATTCTCCCTGGGAAGTGTGCACAATGGCGGTCTTAGCTTTGTTCAGTTTGCCCCTTTATTTTGTAAATCTGCTACCACCTAGTTTAATTATCAAACATTTTTACATTAGAAAAAAATGCACGGCCTTCTTCTTCTTTTAGGTCGCTGGCCTCCTCTCAACCTCCTCCACCTGCTCTATTATTTAGACCTCAAGAGATGATTCGTTCAAAGAGATATCTAAAGAAACGTGGAAGAGAAAGGGGGGAGAAGCCAGGAGTTTGGAGGCGTCTCTTCGGACAACATTTCCTGAATGCCCGTTGCAGTTTCCTTGAAATTATGAAAATCCCTTGCGAGATTTCTCAAAACAGATTCACCAGAAATTATTTTTGTATTATTATTATTATTATTCTGAAACATATAGCCGTGCACACACACTCTCCGGCAGCAGCAACCAACGAAGATCATCACCATCAGGTTTCAGCAACCAGAACGCGGATCACGGGTGTGGTTATATAACATTTTACGACTGGAAGCGCTTTACAAATATGCCCCATTTCACTTCGCTCGCCGCAACGCCGTTTTCAGGCGATTTAGCTGAGTAAGTTTTGTTTTTCCCGCGTGGGGAGTTAGCACCCTTATTCTCCCCACCCGTCACCCCCATATCGTCAACAGGTGCTAATCACGTCAGTGCGAAATAATTTATTTTAACGAGTTTCCCATTTCCAGATGGGGAGCCGGTGTCAGCTGCCGCAAAAACAACAGCTAACGAATTTGTTGGGGCATCAGTTTCTGCAGATTCCTGCCTGCCTTCATAAAGGAAGCTGTAATCTGGGAGAGCTGGTGCCATAATGCTGTTCTTAGTCCTTAGAGTGCTACACAAGACCCTCAGTGATTTTTCCTTTGACAGGGCTACTCT